TTGGTTTTTTTTTTTCATTTTATGAGCTGTATTTGATGGATGGACTAAAGAAAAAATTCTAAAACTTAAAATATTATTCGTAAGTCACTTCTCACCGGTAGTAATGATTTCGTAATACATTTTAAGAGTCTTTCCCCGTTTTGTTCTGACTTATATTTAATGACTGTACTTCAAGATTTGACGAATGATTATCTCGCAATTAAAGAAATATTCTTCAGAAATTTTAAAAATTATTTAATGGTCATCTTCTCTCGTTTTTCCTGCATTATGTGGTTGTTGCTCTTATCAAAACTACTATTTTACTTTAGTCAGTATTTCCCTTGGCACCAGCATACCTAACCTGTCTGCAAAGTGTGCTAAAATAACGCAACACAAAGTGGTGAGGCAGGGAGAAAGGAGTGGGGGTCCTTGGAGAAAGGTGGTGGTGAAAGCGGGGGCGGTGACGTTTTCACAGCGACCACGCCCACACGCACGACTTGTCAGTCAAGTGACGGTGAAATGCTTGTCTTAGCTCTGCCACCAGCCTCCATGGCATTGTCCTTTGGACCAGGACAAAACCCGCGAAGGGGACTTGAAGTGAGGGGATGGGAATGGGAATGGGCTGTGTGGTCCGCACACACAGATGACAATTTAAGAGGACAATTTTCGCGAGCGTGTCCTTGCCCCAAAGTCTGCATTCAGTCGTCAACCTTGACACTTGACTGTTGCTAAAGTTTGAGCTTCAATTGGAGCCAAAGAAAGTTGCAAGTTGTGGGGGGAGGGGGTGGGGATTTGGGGCCTGACAAATGATATGCTTGCCAGGCGGTAGTTTCACAGTGCCACTTTCTGCCTTCCCCAGCGAAATGCAGAAGCCTTCCTTACTTTGCCTTTGTCTCTTCGTAGGCAGCTTAAAAGTTACGCTGACAACTGTCGCCATAATTCACTTTTACAGGACAGCCGGGAAACCCTTGCCGGTGAACCAGAACCAGAACCAGAATCAGAAACTGAAATATAGGGAAAACTAGAGGGAAAACTTGCCAACGACACTTGGCCAAACAAGTTCCAGGGAAAACGTCTAGGGAGGCGGACCCATAAAACCTGCCACCTCCCTCGTCTTTGGCCATTTGTTATTTAGAGAACCGCCGCAATTGTTGCCATTTGCAAGCGCTTCAATCACGGACAGGCAAAAAGAAACCTCGCTTTCAAAGCACCTGCTGCCCCTGGCTGTAACAAACAAACAAAAAAATATATAGAAAAGAAAAGAAAAGTGCTGAAAGCCGGGCACAAATCATCTGCAGGGACAGCAAGCAAAAGTCCCAGAATGGACTGGCAGGAAAAGCCAGTCGCCTAGATGGTAACTCAACTTTGGCATTCGACGGCAATTATTCTGTCATTCGTTTCTTCTACTGACCGTTGAAGGAATGGCACTCTTGTGGCCTGCCAATCGAGAACCTTTCTGTATATTTATTTCGTGATGAGAAAAGATGATAAGGATACACAATAATTAACTAGTACAAAAATCGATACCAATGTCACAAAATATAAATAATAGAGTCAGCATATCAGGAATGTCTTATACATTTGTATAACATGTTTATTGCAATTAATAAATATTTTTAAAAATTTCTAACAAGCCATAAATCTTTTGTTAACATGTTGATACTATTTTATCTATGTTGCAGTATTGAAAAGAATTTTTTTATAACATTTACTTAGTTGCCTTTATAAGCCGATATATCTTTGCCATCTCTAATCGCAACCTATTAACAACAACTGGGCCCAAGGATACTCAATCAAAGCTGGAGAGTAAATAACCTTTTACCTTATTGACCCCTAATTGATGCTCAAAGCAAGGCAAATCGGTAAAATCTATAACCATTAATGAGTGGGTGTCTGAGGGCGTGATTTTAACAGCCCGTCAATCAAGGCATTTAAAATCACTTAAATAATTGATTTGTTTCGGCCGCACGGCAATTCAGGCGGATATAATTAATGTTAAACACGCCACAGCCATAACTAATTTAATGTAAAATTGTGGGCCAGTCGGCGAATTATAAAACAACTAAATTGTTAAACGATTGGGCGTGTCAACGGGGCCGACTAAAAGATCAACATTTTCTCCCTTTTAATTGAGTTTGTTTGCTTTTCGGCCAATTAGATTGATGGTCTTGGGGTTTTTCTGAAACGAGCTGCCAACACAGTTGTCCTTAATTAATTGGTTGCATGTCAAATGCGGCAACACCAAATGTTTAAGCGAGAGAGGAGCTATTATTTAAGTAAGCGTTAACCTTCAGTTGGAATTAGGTAATACTTGCATAAATTCCTACTGCTTAATTTATATTTTACCGCAGCAAACGGAAACAGCTTAAGCCGATTTGTAGAGCTTTCAAAAATAAACAAATTATTTGCCTAAATATATATGTAGCTTGTTCCCAAAAGTTTATTTAAGTACGGGCTCAAAATATGGAGTGGCAAAGACGCAGATAGCTTAGTCATTCTCATATTCCCATACCTAAATTTAATAAAATAAATTTTGGTTTTGGTGATTTCCATTTTAATTACATTTGCCTAGCTTGTGTTTATAGTTAAAACGCATTAAGAGATTACTCCAAGCCATAATTAATTAAAACATATGCATTTACTGCACACATACACAAGGAAAATAAATACCAGTGAAAAGAAAAAGTATTTTTTGTTTTAAATTATTATATCTGAATTTAAGAATGCTAAACTCTTGTTATTTATTTATTTAAACTTGTATTTGCTTATGTTTGCTATGAAAAAAATATTTACATAGAAGCTTATAAGCTTGCTAAATATTATTATAATGTTTACATAAACTATGTTCGTTCATTAATTTCTTTTATGTGTACACAAGTATATAAATTTGCACACAGCGCCTACGTAATTATCACCCTGAAAAGTGTACTCAATGGTTGTAGATTCTCGGTAATTATGCAAACTCATTCACCAATTGACCAGTAAGGATAAAGTGGGAAGCCACAAAAGTTCCAGGAAATACTCGGATTCTCTCCTAGAACCAATCTCAATGAAATTTGAGCCCAAACACGTGAGGCTATTTTTGGGTTTTAAAGCCATAATTTTAACGGGCTTTCCTTTGGTTCCGCTTTCGTTATTTTTACAAAATCCTTTGTTTGGAAGTCCGCTTCTGGAATATCTGTTAGGCCCTAAAACAGGCTTAAACAATGAAAGGCGCTGAGTAAACGCCGAATAAGTGGAAGGCAAAACAACAACGGCCAACGGTGGATGTAACTATTTGCAGCTTTCTCTGTATTTGGCTGCTATTGTGGAACAGAACACACTCTAAAAAAGTATGTGAAGAAGTACAAATTTTAAGTTGTAACATAAATTTTAATTTAATTTTTTCTTTATTATTATTGTCCCTCATCCTAAAACAGATCCAATATAGTTCGAGGTTTTAGAGCTGGAATTTATGAAGATTTAAGGAAAAGGGAAACACCTGGTTTTATTTGTAGGTTTCAACATTTTTTTGCCTGTGTATATACCTTAAAATTTTCTTATTTATTTCTTATTTTCTTATTTTCTTATTTATAAAAATATAAAAATTTTAAGGTATATACACAGGCAAAAAAATGTTGAAACCTACAAATAAAACCAGGTGTTTCCCTTTTCCTTAAATCTTCATAAATTCCAGCTCTAAAACCTCCTTTATAAATTAAACTCATTTAAAAGGGTTTAAATCAAGACATAGTCCACAAACGCAAACGTATTGCCAGTATTTGCACAATCCAGGCCTTGTGCAGAACCCTTTCCCCCGAAATTTCTCCGACTGTATGCAAATAAGTAACTGAAACTGACAGTGACACCACAGTATCCTTCGCAGCATGGGTCAATGGCAAACTGCAGGCATCAGCAGGGGGCTGGGCAAATTTGCATTCATAAAGCAGAAGCGCCCAGTTGGCCCATTTGTATGCAAAGTTAAGTAATAATGGGTGGATTGGAGGGGTAAGTGAAAGTAAACACCGGCTAAGAGTGTGCAGGTAAATACCCCAAATTAAAACAATGACCTGAAACAGAAGCTCGGGATTTGAGGTGCCTGGCTGTTGTTGGATGGCAATTAACTTGAATGAAGCGGATAATAAGTTCGAGAGTCTGAAGGCCAGTAGCTAAAGAAATGTGCTGACATCAAAGCAGCATAATTTCTTCATTTGCCGAAATGGGTCCGAGTTAATTGCTACCCGCAATTTTCGAACTCAACAAAGGAGTTTAATTAATTTGCCAAAAAAAAAAGAAAGCAATGGCCCTGGACTTTAGCTCAGATTCCGAGTCAAAGTCAATGTGAAATTACAATTTCACACTTGGCCTGGTAGCGCACACACGGCGTATGAATGATTTCATTAAGCTCCATTTCGGATTTTTCCATATGGTCCTCAGACATGCCCTTCATCCAGTCTTTTGGACTTGCAGCATGAATATGATCTCCCAGCGGAAAATAATTAAATGTATTATTTACTTTCACTTGGGCAGCATCCTTGGGCGCCAGTTTTATCCTCTTTCAGTCAGCCTTTATTTCACGAGGCTTTTCTCGTTTGAGCGAGCTCAATGAGTAAAGATTTTTTTGAAATTTTTGTTTACTTATTTATTTATAACCTATACATTTTTTTTTGGCCTTCTGCCTGTCCGGGTATTTAAGTTCTTAACGGCTTCATGAATGCGCACATATGCAGTTCCACAATTAAGTCGATTTGGGTAAGCCGTTGTCTGTACAATGGCATTACGTATACGCCCCGAGCGGCTGGCACTTGTTCAAACAATTTGCAAAAAAAAGTCAGACGATCAGCCCAAACCACTATAAACCAATTGGTTTTTTATAATCAATTCAATTTAAAGCAAAGTAAATAACCGTTGATTGGTTCAACCAACAGCTGCTGCTTTTTGCGTGTTTTAATTAAAGTATTTAAAGATAACAAATATTACTTTTTATGGGAAACTCTTCAGCTGGTTTTTGATTTTTTTAATCCGACCTTTATGTTACATACCTTTGGGGGTGTTTTAGAAAATGTAATTTTATTTAAACTTAATTTGCTGTTATTTGTTTGGGATATATGGTTTTTGAACTCTCACAGATTTATTTTTTTCTCGATATTGTCGCTGCCATTTTAACAGACCTTTAGATCACTTCACTAAACACGCGATCTTTGGTTCGATGGGATTGGGATTCTCTTTAAAGTATTTTCTGGGACTATCTCGATGGACACACAACCACGCCGCGACGCGTTTCAAAACGAACTGACAGCCGCTGTTCGTAATCGGAACTCCAGCCTTAAAGTCGGCTACACTCGCTCGGAAACTCACCACGCCCCAAAAACGAAGTCGGGAGCCGAGCCGAAGCATTGCGACCCGAAGCTTCCAAGTGGGTCTGTGGACCAGCAACTGAGCGCCGGGAGAAAGTGAAAGGCGTCGTTGAGGCAGGTTAGTGCCCGCTCTCGCACTCTCTTCTCGGCGCCTTCCAGCTATGTTTCTGATTAGACTGGAAGCGCCGGTTTCGCTTCTGATAAGCCATACTTTAATAGCCGAAAGTAAACTGTTGCATGCAACTTCGGTTCATTTTTTTACAAAATTAAAAAGCAAATACTTAATTTTTGTTTAGTTAACCCTATAACTATTACCTTTTCAATAAAAATTAAGTATATTTGCATTTTAATTTTGTACAATAACTTTTAAAAAACTTATCAAGCTGCACTATTTTGCCATACTGACAACTTGTTAAAGATTTTAATCAGTATCAGAAATGTGAAGATGAAATTGAAATATATTTATTTAGTGCTTGTGTTGGTAAGCTCTTTTAGGCTGAGATAATTTTTGTACAGTGTCATCCTTGCTTTTTTTTATGTAGAGTAAAATTAATTCATTTGTTAGCTGACTCGTTTGGTTCAATAAAAAATTAAATTTATAGTTCAAATGTATTAAAACAAATTGTCTAAAAATAGGACTTTTAAAACACTTTTTCCCTTGATGGTCGGCAACAAAACATTTTGATTAAATCAACTTGATTTAATTACCTTTAAAATTTGATTCAAACCACTCCACGTTTCGATGTTTTTCTCTTCGTATCCTGGCCATGCGCATCTGAAAAGACTCTCCAAACTCAGCTGTTAATGTCCGGCATTCCAGTGTGGTGAGTTTGGGTTCGTAAAGGCTCTGATAAGAATCACTGATAAGAACGCATTACGGATGCAGCTGCATCCGCACCAAAAGCAACACGTACCGCATCTTTTATAAAGGGGGTGCGCAATTGCATAAGCGTTTCATCATCGCAATTTGCGGTCCCTGCGGATTGAGGATGGTTTCTTGAATGGGATGACGTGGGGGGTGGAAAGTGGAGGGCGGTGGTCGGTGGGGGGACCGCAAAATGCGCAACGCTGCAGACGCAATTAATGCGCCCCGTTTTACAATTAGCGACCTGGCCCAATTATGCAGCTGGCACCCCATTAACCCCCTGTCACCCCCACGCCGTGAATCTTGGTCGTTGTTTTTGTCACTGGGAACGGCTGTTAATAGGAAATTCATGGCCAACGTGACCGGTCGCCGTTTGCCGTAGTTTTTTTTTTGTGCCTTGGTGGACGAGGTTGGTTGGTTTTTCGGTGACTGGGGCTGCCTTTTAATTATGATAATTACATTGTTGTCGTTCTCATTTTCTGACTGCAGCTGGGCCGCGATCTCTGGCGTTGCACGAAAACGGTCCCCTAAATATTCCCCTCTGCATGCGAGCTAATGTTGAATAGTAGCACATCCTGGTCCCCAAACCAAATTATGCTTTCAGCTTGCGAGAAGGGTGAACTACAAATTTAAATTTCTGGTTTTCTAATAATTTCTAATAAGAACATGGAATTAATGATTGAAAGTCTATTGAAAACGTTTAAGAGCCATTAAATCGATTGTCATATTTAAATGAAACAACTTTAACAAACTACAAATTTAAGATTTTCTCTAAAAATGTATTTTATAAAGGGAACATTTGGCAGAGACGACATAGTTTTTTCTAATCAAAAAATAATTAAGGAAGTCATAAAAAGTCCAAATTATTTAGAAATTAAATTGAAATTTAACTTAATTGAAACTCTTATAACAGACGAAGATATTTTTATTTTTGAATTTCTGGAATTGCATTTAAAATTTTAAATATTTCTTTCCAAACAATTAATACATTTTTTTTACAGAGGTTTAAAAAAAGTGGTACAAGTCCCACGCAAATGTTGTCCAAAGAACAGAAGTATTAAAACTTTAATAAACATTTTTGTTAAAACCAAATTTGATATACTATGCCAAAAAAAAAGTTTAAGTTACCGTGCAAATTTACTAAGCAAATTACAAAAGGAGGAAGACCCTTTTCTATATATCTTAAATACTTGACTTATCAGCGTACTAAGATTAAGAAAATTAATTTTATAATTTTCGAGTCAGGGAAGTTAAGGATGTCTTAACCTGTTGCGAATTTGATATTATTTCCCCCATGTTTATTTACACCACCATGGAGGGTGCAAATAGTCAATGCTCTATGCTAAACGTTGAATGGCATTTTCATCCGGCGAGGAACTTGCGGCATACGCCGTAATTGGGTTATGGCATCCGCAATCCGCACATGGATGCATTTCCGGAGCGAGACGAAGGATTTTGCATACAACAAATGGAAGAGAGACACTATGTGACAATGTCGCTGGGAATTTGGCTGAAAAATGCCACAATTAAGACCTTAGATTGTCCCCGAACTGCACGCTGCGATGCATCTAAATGCGCATATATGCGATAGCTGTTAGGTTGAGGGAATTTTCCCCATTTTACCCACTTTCCCCCGATTTCAACGACGGGTTTTCTCTATTTTGTGTGTTTGGCCCGCTGCCATTTCGACGTGCATGCAACAATTTATGGGGCTGTCAACAATATGGCAACATGTTTTTTGCCCGCCTGCGTCTGGACATGCTAATTGCATGCACCATGTGGAAATATCAAGTAAGTCCTGGGCCTGCTCCACCAGCGTTGAAATTTTAACGAAGCGAATAATTTAATGCGCCATAAATTCGCATGTACGCTTGTAAAATTGACAGCGAGTGCGCCATAAATTCTGTAGCATACTTTTTAGCACAAATTTTGAGCGACAAAAACCGCTGACAAAAGCAGCAATGCAACAAAATGAGCCAAATGAGAATACAGATTTATGTTTCTGGTTTTATTAATTATAAAAGCGGCAACACAATGAGAGCTTTGCCAAAGTGCTCACCTGAAACTATGACATGAATAATTCCACATTTCAGTTGCAATTGTTGAAATCAGCATGGAGTGAAAATTGTTGTACTACAAAGTCACAAATGCTGGCCAAAAATTTCACAAACTTTTTTCATTTTACCTTCCTAAAGTATTCATAATTATTATTTTATATTAAATTTGTTATACCCTTTACCAGATACGGTATATTTTTTTACCTCAAAGCTCGAAGAATAGACTTAGGAAACTGGGATGAAATAAGTTTCATTTCAAACTTTCACCTTGCAAAATTCTGCAAAAGACAAAGATAAAAGATAGTCATGATATGAATCTTTTTCGAAACGAAATAAGACAAATTTTAATTTAATTTATAAGTTTGTTTAAAGGCTTAGTTTTGTATCTGCTTTATGTAATTAGATCTTTAAAAACTTTTAAAAGAAGAGCAGAGGAATGTGAATCCCACTCCTATCTTAATTGGTACCTAATTTCAGTTTCAGGACCAATTCAAAGCTCGAATGGGAAGCCTTAGTTCACCGGCAGGTGGTCCCAATAATTCCTAATTCCTAATTGCTGTGGCCACGCAAGTTTAATTACATAATTGGGCAATCGCACCAATTGATTGGTGGCACCAAAGAGTATTTAAGTAAGACACCTCGCATTTTAAGGGCAATAAATCCAGAAGACATGGCAGAAGTCACAGTCGATAGTCTATATTTTTTCGGGAGCCATTGGACAGCCTGGCGTGTCCTGGGCGTGGCTTATATTCGTGTCGAGTCCTGGCGGAATCTGTACCTCTTCTACAGTATTGTGATGAATCTGTTCGTGACCCTGTGCTATCCCTTTCACCTTGGGATGTCGCTCTTTCGAAATCGCACCCTCACCGAAGATATCCTCAACCTGACCACCTTTGCGACCTGCACAGCCTGTTCGGTAAAGTGTCTGCTCTATGCCTATAAAATCAAGGATGTTTTGGAAATGGAGAGACTTTTGAGGCTACTGGATAAACGGGTTGTGGGTCTGGAACAACGTGAAATCTACGGACAGGTGAGGGTGCAACTCCGGAATGTCCTGTACATTTTCATTAGCATCTACATGCCCTGCGCCCTGTTCGCCGAGCTCTCCTTTCTGTTCAAGGAGGAACGTGGTCTGATGTATCCCGCCTGGTTTCCCTTCGATTGGCTTAATTCCACCAGGAACTATTACATAGCAAATGTGTATCAGATCGTGGGCATCTCCTTTCAACTGCTGCAGAACTATGTGAGCGATTGTTTTCCGGCGGTGGTGTTGTGTTTGATCTCCTCCCACATAAAAATGCTATACAAGAGATTTGAGGAGGTTGGCGTGGATCCAGCGAAAAATCCGGAAAGAGAACTAGAGGCCTGCATCACAGATCACAAGCATCTTTTGGAGTAAGTGGATTTTCTATAATTTTCTATAAATTCTTATACCTTTTTTATTCCCCGCAGACTTTTCCGTCGCGTTGAGGGCTTCATATCGCTACCCATGTTCATTCAATTTACGGTGACCGCCCTAAATGTCTGTATCGGCATTGCGGCCTTGGTGTTTTTCGTCAGTGAACCCATGGCTCGGATGTATTTAATTTTCTACTCCTTGGCCATGCCCCTGCAGATTTTCCCCTCCTGCTATTTTGGCACTGACAACGAATACTGGTTTGGACGGCTTCACTACGCCGCTTTCAGTTGCAATTGGCCCACTCAAAATAGGAGCTTCAAGAGAAAAATGATGCTGTTCGTTGAGCAATCCTTGAAAAAGAACACGGCTGTAGCGGGTGGAATGATGAGAATCCATCTGGACACCTTCTTTTCCACCCTAAAAGGTGCCTACTCCCTATTTACCATCATTATACGGATGAGAAAGTGAAGCATTTAGAAACTTAATTTTGTCAATTTGGCGATTCAATTGAAAAATATATTATGGAAGTTCTTGGTGACCAAATTGGGTATTTAACTTAATAAATTCAGAAAATTACTTGTGGGTTTTGGTGCACAAAGCGCTAAAACCAGTTGATAATTCTAAACGCAAATTCTAAATTTAAACATTTTAATAATTTAAATACATATAAAAGTACCCAGAAATTAACTGTATAAGGAAGGTTAGTTCCTTTTAAGTTGCCGATGATTTGAAGAAACTAAAACTTTTCCAAGTTTAAGCCGATTTCAAAGTGACATATGTACATTTTAATACTTGTGGTTTGATTTTCTAATAATCCATATACAAATTTTTAAAAAGAATTTAAACTTCGGCTTACCTTTCTGGAAGCATACATATCATTGTTCTCTTTTAAATAAAATTTCTAATTTTTACTTAGTTTTTTCATGACCGTATTTTCTTTTTACAATAAGTGCAATGGCCGCTTCCCTAAGGAGCTAATCAACGGCATTTGCAGCCGGAAGCCATTTTCCGTGATTGCATACAAAATGGCGGGCTCGCTGCTTCCGTCGCAAAGGGAAGTCGCGGAAATGGACAAAAACGGAAATAGACAAACGAGGGGATGTAATGGGACGATTATTGTAATTTATTTTACTTTATTTAGTACTCTTTGGACTGTCCAGGCAAGCGCCACCTTTTTTTAATATATCTGCCACGTGTGTTGGACTGAACAAACATTTGCTAATTGAATCACTCAACGGAAATTTGCATAAGACAGTCAACGGACAAATCAATTGCTCAACCAGGATAACGAGACTTGAGCCGAATGCCATTGCTCGCTCATTTATTTGCACAAGCGATAAGACATTAAAAGACTTTACCCCTCCCCCCTTTGAATTCGACTCCCGAAATCGCCACCGGAGTCTCAGTCGGAGTCCGTAATGCGCTTAAGTCGGCACAAAGTCCGTGTTGGATCGGCAAAGTGAACATTGTAAAACGGAAGCCAAAAAGGGACCAAAAAAGCTCAAATTTATAGCTGGCAAAAACTAAAGAGCATCCTGGGATTGGACTGTCCCAATAAACGAGCGCCTGTGTGTGGGTGTGACTTTGTGTTTCAATCGATTTGATGACCATGTAGCCGGGCAACCAAAGTTGATTTGAATTTATTACAGAACGCATTTACTTCTGTTTGCCGCCTAATTCCCCAAGCCGAGCACGTACTGTAGTCCCTGACCAGGACATGCTTAATTTTTAATCAAAACAAGCAACAACTCAAACTGCTAAAGCCGTCTTGTTTAAGTTTTCCGCACTGGATCTCAGTACATTTAGCAGACTCAGCTGTTGGAAGTCAGTCGGAAATTGTATTTGGTCACTTGGCTCATTTCGTCGGGACCTCGTCATCGCCATCATCATTGCCCCTGCTCATCGAGTTCCCCCATCCAACTTCAGTCTGCAAGTCAGGCAGGCGGTTACTTCAAAAGTCCATTGCACTGGGGTAGATGATTTAAGTTGGTTGCCCATACTTATGCACTGTGAGAATGAGAATATGTAGTTCTTAAAATAAATGAGCTTAATTTATTTGAATCCACTAGTACATTTTCTTTAACAACAAACCTTTTTTTAATCAGCTTAATTTGACTAGAAAGCTTGCTAAAAGTTTAAATAAAATAACGAAGTCTAACATTAAAAGTCTGAACATTAAAATTAACAATTGGACAAATTTCATCATCGCTTAACAAATGAATTCGAATACTATTTCCTGAAGAACTATTCAGTTGATAAATTAAATTTTGACTAGGTAGATAAAAATATTGTTTGTTATAACAAACATTCCCTCCCTAGCGATTGGTGAAATATATTTCTCGCAGTGCACAACACTTAGCCGAAGTGGCTCATTGGCCGCTTCCTCCTGTAGAATGTAATTTGTTGCTAAGCAAAATGTTAATACGGTTGCAACAGCGAGTGGCTGGTGCCTCCGTTGCTGTGACAGCCACAAGTATTCGAAGGATAAGGATGAGAATGGGAATGCCCATCCTGATGAGGATTGCTCCTCACTTGAGTTCCAAGTGCTTACATGCATGAGCCACTCGAACTGCTCGACGGCACATGAACCACAGAACACAACAGGTGCGGGCAAACACATTTCCAGCCAACCAAATCGATCGACCTTATATTTAATTAGCAACAATCGGAGGAGGTAAAGGAAACCAACTGCTAGTAAATCCCAACAGCCAGCGGCCTTGACTCGAAATTAATAGTTTCCCCATTTCAGTGAGCAGGCCAAGAAGTTTCAAATTTTGCAAAGTAAATCAAAAGAAAAATGGCTCAAACTATCTCGGTGAAAGTTTTGTCAATGGCTTAACTTGGCCAACAGCCACATGCGACCGAAGGATGGGCAAAAAGGACATCTGCAGCGCGTTGTACTCAAGTAAATTACAAGCTTTCTTAGTCCTGGCATATTTAACCACAGCTATGTTGGCGCAAGTTTTATCTCACACTCGGAGGAAATATTAAACAATTACATGAAAACATAAAGAATAAATTCCATTAAAGAAAGATTTAAAGGAAAAAATTAAGTATCTAACAAGTATCAGTATCAGAATAAGTAAATTAAAAATACATTTTATTTAACTTTTTAGCTTGCCCACAAAGCTTCTATAAATCAACCTAGTTGAAACAATACAGTTTAAAAATCAAAAATAAATATTTTTTTTGTGTTACGTTATTAAACCATAAAATGTACATGTATTTTGTTTTAAATTTTAATTAGTTGTTAGGCTTGTAATATTTTAGTAACATTTTTTGGGCTAATTGTGCACCAAAAACAAGGATGGTGGCAAAAACAGGATCCATATGGTCCCATATAAAGAGGGGAATTTTACAACCGGCATAAGAAAGTCACTTAACGTGGGCAATGGCACATTAAGTGAGCGATGAGGGGCTGATGTGGCGAGTGAAAGTTAATTTTGGTGGGGAAATGTGAGTCTGGGTAAATGTGCAGAGGCGGTGGGTGGATTTACAAAATTTGAGGATGCTGAGATGCTGATGTTCTGGAGTGAGCGGTAGGCGTCAGTAAAAACATTTTGGCTAAACTATGCCATTAACATACAAAACTTTAACAACAGCCGGCCTGCGAGTAACTCGGCTAGCCCTCAACCCCCTCCCCTTCCCCTCCCTCTCCCCCACCGCTCTATGTTTCTCTGCGAAGCACGTAAATACTTGCCAGAAACTTGCACGAATTAACAACAAAAAGTTCGTCCTTCTTGTGTGACGGAAAACTTGGATAGAATAACACAAGACTGCCGCTGGCAAGTGACAATAACACAGCAGAAACTACACAGCGAGTGCGAGAGAGATGGCGGGGTGGTGTAAGAGCGAGCGAGAGAGATTGTTAGCCAGCAGGAGTTATAGAGAAGGTTACTCGGTTTCGGGAAAGGATTCATTGGGTGGGCCAGTGCCAAATGTCAAGCAATTTGCGGTTGTCTAAGCCAACATTCCGTCTCTTTTTCTCGAATCTTTCTGACTCTTTCTGTCGAATCTCCCTGACTCTTTCTCTCGAATCTCTCTGACTCCGTTACTTACACTTGCACCCCTACCCTATCGCCCACACCCTTTTGCCATTTAAAGCCCCGGCCTAAAGGCCTTTGGCCAAAGTATTTATAGCTCAAAACTTTATGACTACCAGGGCCATAAAAAGCAAAGCCCCCCCTCCCTTCTCCACACCAACATAATTGCCGCTAAAGAGTGTTTGGCGTCCGATGTGGATTGTAGTCCAACTATAACTCATTACGACTAATGAGAGTTATTTGTGCCCCGACGCCCAGCAAACTTCAGTCGGGACCAGAGCAAAGACGAAAGGTCGAAAATTAGTTTGACTTGTGACACAAGCTTGCAAATACACAAAGCCGAGAGGATTTTAACTCTGCCAATGGGATTACGCTTAATTGACAGCGACAACAAGTGACAGACACTGGGTGCGACAGAGACAGGGAAACATGAACAGAAAGAGAGAGGGTGAACTGATAGAATAGGAGAGCAGATTCATGTCCTAGCTCAAACTCTTTGAGATTGGCCACTAGTACATTAAGGATTCCTCTTATATTTATGCAGCTTTTGAATTTCAATCCAATAAGGATTTTTTAGATTAAGAAAAATTAAATATAATATTGTCTTGAAATTCCGATTATGCAACCTAACCTTTTTCAAGATACTTGTTATGTATGTATTTTTGTTTCCTCAAAAACCCACCTAAACTCTTTGGAAGTCAAGTATTAATTTTAATTTAAAAACAAATATCTACTTTATAGTACCCCTGCTCATTTAAAAACCTGGAAGATAAGAAACTGCTCAACAAGTGTCTGATGCAAAATCTCGACTACAGTATTGTCATTGAGTGATGGGCTGGGTAGCAAAAAATAAAATTGCATTTTACTGAAATAATCTTTATTCTTAAGACAGACTAGTTCTATAAAAAATTAGATGATCATAAAACTCTGCCTAGGAATTGCAATTCATCCGTATGTGTACGGATACCAATTGGGGTAGAAATTGTAAGTTGACCTCTGAATATCTTGTTGTACGACATAAGCTATCCAGTTTATATGGTGCGCAACATTCGTAAATACCGACAATTGTCCGCATTCTCGATGTCCATAGCTGGTAACTCCAGCCTGAATGACTTGATTTACACCGTTTATATTCACCGTGGCCATTAGTGGACCACCAGAATCCCCATAACAAGTATTCGAAAAGAATCCTTTGGCACAGATCTTAGATGAATCCATACTTCCGTAAATGGAGCAAAATGATCGATCCACATGCATTAAGGTGGCGGCCAATAGTTTGTTGCTCTCTAAACTGTATGCTGTTTTACCCCATCCTGTGGCAGTGAATGTCCTGATTTGCGGCAAGAGATCGACGTTGGTCAGCAGACAAATGGGTCTTACGTAGTCTAGGATAAAGGAAGTAACTTGAGAAAGATACTTGCTAGACAAGCAACTTACTTACCTGTATATTGCACCGACCTAGCCAGTCGAAACAGAGCTATGTCGTTCTGATGCCCAAAGCTCGAGTAACTTGGGTGACTTATTTGAGCATGAACATGGACTCCATAGGCACTGGGCTTGCAACCTGTTGCAGAACAATCAAATAAGGTTGCTGTGTCAAACTCTCCTAGGAAAGCAACCCTATAAGGAAAAGACTTGACCTTGTTAAATCTCTAGAATAAATAAAATATAATTAAAAATACTCACGTAGGTGAATTAGATCTGCAATGTGCAGCAGTAAGCACAAAATCTAAAAGTAGTTGCAAATTATTCGGACTTTATTAAAACTGTTTTTATTCTAATTTAAATGCTTACTATTTGTGATGAGTGAGCCGCCACAGTACGAGTTGTGTCGTATCAGGACCATCCATGGGTTTGCTAACATGTTTGCCACCTGACCATTCGGAATGAACGATGCGGAATTGGAATTGGAAATGGCGCATTTCGGTTCCAGAAATGATACACTTGATTGTCCATCTCCCAGAGTAAGAAAAAATAATGTAATTACAACTGCGACTATCTTCATGCTTAAGTCCCGACTAAACCTTTTCAGTTGAGTTCTGTTTAAAAACTGATTTTATTTTCTAAGTTGCTGCTTAGGAAGCTAAAATAAAATTCTTATTCTGTGGCCAATCATTTGTCCCCCACACAGGAAGTGATCATTTTCGGTTCAAGTGGAATGTCACAAGACATTCATAGAGCTCATAAATTATGCTCAATTTATACTCAATTTATTAGTGTTCGTCTGAACAAACTTTGAAGATAAGCAGCAGCATTAACGCATTTTCAGGAATTTCATTGTACAACACGCACTTATTCCCAGACTGCTATCAATTATATTATATTTATATAATAAATGAACATCAATCTTACACAGAGAAAAACAAATCAGCGACATTGTGTTGAATCAGGGAAGAATTTAAAACAATTTAACAACCAAAAAAGTCATAGGCATTTAAACTTGTTTCCCTTAAAATTCCAAACATTTATTTTTCCATTTAGAATATAACGCTGTAGTTACCGAACTATACCTTGAACAAGTTTGAGATTGTAACTTATTGGGAAATTATTCATTGGCGTTTCTCATTAGTTGTTTAAATATATATTTTTTGGAAATACTAAGAACTTTTTTTAAAGAATTTTATTATATTTGGAGGATTTTTTAAGAAACGAAGTATTAAAGAATGAAAAGCTATTGCTATATAGAACATTGTATTGTGGCAACCTAACCTTTTTCAAAATTCTTGTTATGTACGTATTTTTGTTTCCTCGAAAACCCACTTAAACTCATTTGAATTCAAGTATTAATTTTAATTTCAAGTTCAAGAGTTTAGTGTCATTAAAAAAAAATTATGAAGATAAATACTTTATGGTAAGCCCTGCTCATTTAAAAACCTGGAAGATAAGAATCTGCTCAACAAGTGTATAATGCAAAATCTAGACTGCAGTCGTCATAGAGCGATAAGCTGGGTTGCAAAAAATACGATTGCATTTTATTGAAATAATCTTTATTCTTAGGAAAGACTAGTTTTATGGAAAAGTAGAAGATCATAAAAATCAGACTAGGAATTTCAAATCATCCATAGATATACCAATAAGTATTGGGATAGTAACTGTAAGTCGGCCTTCGAACTTTGGGTTGGAACTGCGTATTCTGAGCACTTCCACGTCGTACGACATCTGCTATCCAGTTTATATGGTGCACGACATTCGTAAACACCGACACATGTCGGCAATTTTGATGTCCATAGCTGACAACTCCAGCCTGAATGACTCGATTCGCACCTTTTATATTCACAGTGGCCATTAGTGGACCACCAGAATCCCCACGACAAACATGCGAATCATATCCTGCGACACAGATTTGAGATGAATCCACTCTGCCGTAAATGGAGCAATACGATCGATCCACATGCATTAAGGTGGCGGTCAATAATTTGTTGCTCCCTAAACTGTATCCTGTTTCACCCCATCCTGTGGCAGTGAATGTCCTGATTTGCGGCAAGGGATCGAAGTTGGTCAGCAAACAAATGGGCCTTATGTAGTCTAGGATAAAGTAAGTAACATGAGATAGATGCTGTCTAAACAAACAACTTACCTACCTGTATATTGGACAGGCCTGGCCAGTCGAAACAGAGCTATGTCGTTCTGATGCCCAGAAGTCGAGTAACTTGGGTGACCTATTTGAGCATCAACATGGATTCCAATGGCATTGGGCATGCAAGCTGTTGTAGAACAATCAGTGATGGTTGATCTGTCGAACTCTCCTAGGTAAACCACCCTAGAAAGACAAGACTCGACCATCTTAAATCTGTTGAGAACTATGAAATATATTTTAAAATACTCACGCAGGTGTATTGGATCTGCAATGTGCAGCAGTAAGCACAAAACCTATTAGAATAATATTTTATTCGGTCTTTATCAAAACTTTGTTCATTCTTATTAAAATTCGTACGATTTGTGATGAGTGAGCCGCCACATAAAATGCTGCTTTGTATAAAGGCCATCCATGGGTTTCCAAACATGTCTGCCACCTTACCGCCGATTACCCTGGTTTTCGATTTTCGCGATCCGGCAATGGAAATGCCGCAATTTGGTTCCAAAAATGATACACTCGATTGTCCATCTGCCAGAGTAAGAAAAAATAATGTAATTACAACTGCAGCGATCTTCATGCTTAAGTCCAGACTAAACGATTTGCAGGCCGGAGTATGAGATTTTAATGCATTTCAACTTTGGAGATAAGCAGCAGCTCTCCCAGTAACGCATTTTCAGGAAATTCATACTACAGCACGCAGTCATTCCCAGAATGCTATCAATTTTATTATATTTAAATAATGTAATCTGTGTAAGATTGAAGTTACTCAGAGAAATACAAATCAGCAACATTGTGTTGCAACACAGAAGAACTTAAAACAATTTAATAAACCAAAAATTAATAGGCATTTTAGCTTGTTTGCCTTAATTTCCATACATTTGTTTTTCCATTTGAAAGATAACACTGTAGTTACCGAACTATACCTTGAAAAGGTTGTAACTTATTGGAAAATTTTGCATTGGCGTTTCTTGTTAGTCTTTGAAAGATATATTTTTAGGCAATACCAAAAACTTTTTTAAAAGAATTTATTATATTTGAAAGATGTTTTTAAGAAACTATGTTTTAAAGCAATCAAAAGCTTTGCTTTTCTTTCTAAGAGTTTGTTGTAGCTATTTTAGCTAGAACAACTTGGTTTCCGGGTAAAACTTTGAAAAATACCCCACCGCATAAATTTAAATCGAGCACCCAAAAGTCAGCATGAGCCCACAATTGCGAGTTAAACGATCGCCATAAATCCCTGGTCGAATGAACTGGTTACGAGCAGTCCTGCAGTTGCGCTTAATCACAGGTAACACTCTGCCGTTTAAATGCAAATGATGCGACTCTGTGCGGTGGCAATAAACGTGGCCAAGAGGCATTTCGCCCCACATATGCGGAAAATGTGAATGGAAACGCGAATAAACAGAATGAACGTGTGTAACCAAGGTTCAGGGAGCCTAGAGTGAGAGAAAATCTTGATTACATTACCTTTTTTTTTTAATTTCCTTAATACTTAACATTTCACTGTTATCAAAAAATTTAAAACTGAAAATGTATCTTAAGGAATAATCTAAGGCTTAATTTCGTCACTAAACTATAAATATTTTAGGTTATATTAATACGTTATGATATGTTTTAAAAATTAATTTGTTTCATATTTAAGTTTTGTTCATAGCAAATCCCTTTAGTGTTTAATTGTTGAGAATATTTAGAAAGTATTTAAATATAATGCCATTATTGAGAAATATATTTGGTATATTTTTTCAGTGCATCTGGGCTCTTATTACGGCAGGCTCAGTGGGCGTCTGGTTGTCGGGGGCGTGGCCCCGACACGTGCAGCTCCCACTTCGCGAAGTTTTCGGCGGGCAGGCGGGACAATTGAAAATTTAAGTGCCGCCGAATGGCAATGACAATAATGAGCATGATGACGAGTGTTTTGGGGGATGGCAACAATTATGCTGATGATGTGTGTGCCACACCATACCCCTAATGGGCGTGATCCGATTGTTTTCTTTCGTTTAAAAGGAAACAAACAACGGAGTGGGGATTTTTATGGCTTTGGTTGACTGATAACGAGTGATTAAATGTATTTTTAAACGGGTTTTAATGCGATTTGCAATTTAATGAGCCGTTTCATTGCTTACAATTTATTTTATTTTTTCAAAGTTTTACTTAGATAAACCATAGACAAAAGTAAAAAGGAACATTTAGGTATCTTGTAAAGACTACAAAAGCATAAAACATTTTCTTGCTAACTCGTATGGAAATTTTATATTTACCGCATAGCCACAAAGGTCAGCAAACTTACAAATTCTATACGACTTCACCTTGTGTGACTTACAAATATATGTGAACAAAAATGTTGACATCTTAGTGTTCTTATTGAAATTTGAAAAGGAAAGAGTTTGCTAGATGTAAAGGTTAACTTTTAATACATATATATATGTATGCATATATACATATAATCGGTTACATCTACTATTTCGTAAAGAAAACATTTAAAGCTTTGTCAGTATTTACAAATGTATTACATTTATTCAACATAAATGGGACTGGATTTATTCATTTGCAAAGTCTTGCTGCCAGATATAAATTAAACTAATTATAGCAATCGGAACTTGCAAGTGCAAGTGATTATGATGAACTTTATTTTCAGCCTTCAATTTCATTCTTGAAACATTACTTATATTCTGTTGCTTGCTAAAAGCATTTTCCTTTAATCAAAATTCTCTACACACTCCGAAACTAAAAGTTGAAATCCATGGCGACCTTGACATGTTTTGGTTTAGTGACTCGCTCACGTCCGAATAGATAAACATTTGTTAAAATGACATTAAATTACACGAATGTCGGCTGACAAGGGGCAATTTAAAACTAATTTTGCGATCATCAAATGCCACCACAGCCAAGGCAGATGAAATAATTGCACAGATGTACAGATAAAAGAAGACCAGGGCAAATTCAACATTTCTAAAATAAAAACATAATCTTACTGCGAATAATATTAAATATTTTTATTTAAAAAGAAGATAAGAATAGAAAATATAAATTTAAGTAATTTATATATTTCTTAGGTAAGCTTGTTTTTAGGGAACTCTCAACTTCTAAATAAATATAACAAATTTTCCTTTCACCTTTTACATAAGTAAGAAGACACAGTTGTTGATACTTTTTGTTTACACTTCATTTAATGCAATCAATCAAAAATTAATCACACTGATGGGCAGAATAACAGGGAGCGGCTAAGTAAAAGTAATTGAATTGCAGAAATTAGTTAATCGATTCTATTCAGACCAAGGCAGTTGTCTCACTTTAAGTGAGTGATTTTGCTTGCGTCGAGTAAACCAATTTAAGTAAATGCCCCACCAATGCCGTAACCCGAAACAAACCCAAGCTTAACTACACGTAACCCAAGACCCACACTCTGTTGATGTTTAAGGTCATTGCTGGCTGTGATTAAAAACTGCGTGCTGTAAAATATACTTGAAACGTAATGTTCGGGTGTGCACTTGGCGGCATCCACGAGATTGGCATAATTGCAACCGCAGTGGCAAACAAAAACAAAGCCAAGAAACAGCTGCTTCTCGCAGAGTGCGAAATTTACTCAAGACTTGGCACAATTTCCGCTTTGGCTACCTGGTGGAATCAGAATTCAAGGGTATCTTAATGAATAAGAATAGTAGCAAATAAAGACAAATGCACCCAACCCATTAATAATAAATTCAATTTCGATGATTATAAATATTTTCAATTTATTTCTATATTTACGTTGTCTTTATTCTGAACTTTAAATTAAAAAGCGTGTCTTGGTTAAGACTCATGCCTGCCATTTTGATTAATTACTTGCAATTACTATTATTAACTTATTAGCCTTTATATAATCTTAAAGCATAAATGTGGGAATTAAACTATTACACTAAAACTACATTTTAAGTTTTAAATTATTTTATTTATTTTTTTATATTTGTTTGATCCAACTTTTTATATCAAAATAATTTTGCAACAAATTATTCGCCCTTCGAAATGCTTTTCTAATCCAATAAAAATCAATAATCCTCGGTTCTTTCTTGTAAACAAATAAATACTGTATATATAAAGAGTATCCCCCAGTCGAAATACCAAAAGCAATCATTCCTATTAGCTTTTGTTTGTATTTTGTGGGTCCGCAATATTGGGGATAAAGATGTAGATGAACTTGGAGCTCAAGCTGGAGTGCATTCATTTGAGATAACCTTACTGATTGTGGGCTGGAAAGGCGGATGGAGACCGAGATGGGATGCCCACACAAAACTGACCATAATTGAGATGCCAAATGGATTCACGTGTGTGCCGAAATTTCCTCCAACCCCAATCGAATCCATCTGCGTGAGCAATTCAGTTCTTGGAATCCTTCGCTTATTCAAACATTTCCGGATAGCAGAGGCGTACTACTTCCGCAATAGAATCACGTAGGCGTCCAGGACCAATTATTGTCCTCTGCCTCCGAAATTCCGTATGCAGGAGGACGGGGCGCGAATTGAAATCAAATTTGATGTGAAAGCAACCGAGGGATATCGGCGGGAATCATTACTGATTGGTTTTTGGCCAACTGCTTCTGATTTCGAATATGTTTCTTCACGCCCTGATTCACATTGAGTTTTAATAGCAAGCAATTAAAACTGTGGTTCAATAAATCTAAATAAATTTCGCCAGAAATTTCGCTATTTTGGCATAAATAACAATAGTTTGAGACTTGCGGGTGTCAGTTGAATAGAGTTTCTAGACCGGCGAACACGTCAAATATCGATAAAGTTAACCGGCATTCAAATCAAGTGTGAACCAATCGCAAACAAGGTAAGGTACAAATATTCACACCCAGGTCGGTCTAGACCATGCGGCGTATGAGTGATGCAGTTGACTCATCCGCCCGGTAAGCCAGGTGAAAGTTTGCTCTATCCACAATTGCAGTCTACGTTTGCGGTGCATGGCGAATTGATTGCCGCATATGCGGAAAAGAAAGTTCACAACCGGCTGCTAAACTCAAACAAACGTCAATAACCCAGCAAAAGACCAACCCACCATCGGTACTGCCACTCATATATAATATTCAATTGTTTACGAAGCAGGGGCAGCTTCAAATATCCAAACGGCAAACGGCAACTAATCAGCCAGCCACTCAGTCAAGCCTGACTGTTGCCTTTTCGCACCACTCGATATATGTAAACACAAATCCGAGTATATTGAAACAAAACCAGCGGAATGCACAAACTGATCGATGGATACCCTCGGAATTAATTGACCCGTTGAGCCTCTTAAAAATAACTTTTGAATAGTTTATTGATCGAACTAAAGGTTTTCCAGACAGCTTATATTACAATGCGTACATAACACTCCACGTAAAGAACTTTTTTTTTCACATCTTTTTTTTTCTGTAAATAATTGTTTTAAAACTGAGTTTTAGCTGTCCCCTTTTTGAGTAGGACGAAAATTTTTAAATTGTTAAAGAATTTTTTTATTTTGAATTTTGTTTTACTGTGTATTTTAGGATTTAAAGATAGAGTTAGGTTAAGTTAGTTAGAAGCTATGAAAATTGGACTTTAAAGACTAATTTCTCAATGTTTGACATAAAGCCTAATTCTTTGGAAACATAAGTTCGCTTTGTCGTTGCGATGGTTATTTTTTCGAACGACAAATTTTTAATTAGGGCTTTGTCATACTTGAAAAAATGTTGGAGAACTTTTCTTTATCATTTTAGTTTTGCCGACCCAAAAATTTTAACTAGCTTCAACATTATTATGAGAAAGTAAATGTTTCTCTCATTGAGAAATATAAATATTTTATTAATCAAACCAAAAATGTTCTAGAGAAATATTATGTTTTTGTTGCGGTCTAAATTTGTCTAAGGTCTAAGGAAATCATTGTGGTAGAGTATCAGCAAGTTGTCAATGATACCCAAGCACTTTTTCTCTGTGTATCTACACCGAGCGAACGGCTTGCGAAAGGGTTGGAGCTGCGCACGCGCAACGCGTACGGAGAACAGCTGAGCTACGTGCTCGGCTACTTAACTGCCCAGTGACCACCTGCTCATCCCTCCACCCTTCCGAGATCCCAGAGCAAACACGTTAGGCGCCAACAAAGCTGAGAAACTCGCCTGGCAACCCGCTTCCAGCCCAGCCCGCCCAGCTCAACAAAATCTGAAAAAAAATCAGAAAACAAAAAACGTAAAAAAGAAAAAAGAAAAAAAAATAATAATAAAAAGAAAACAAAACGTGAGACGGTCCGTTGCCGGCTTGAGTTGGCCAGAGCGTCGGAGCCAGACTTGAAGCTTGTAGCTCGTAGCTCGTAGCTCGGGCTTGAGGCTTGAGATTTGAGGTTTGGGGCTCGAGTGGCGGCGGGTAAGAGACTCTTAAGTGCTTAGCTCAGTTCAGTTGCGAATTTCATACAACACGAGACGGTTGCCTCCGAGCGGCGTTCTACTACGAGTCCAACAAAACTCCACTTCGATTCCCCCAAACAGAATTTGCCGAAAAAAAAAGTACCGAAAAAAAAGTGAGTTTCGCGATTAGGCGGAAATTAGTCAAGCAAATAATTATTCAAGTGTGAGTGCTCGCGAAAGTGGTTTCAATTCCTATAATTGGGAGTGTATCAAAATAAGTGGTCAAAATGATTGAGAGGCGCAGTCAACTGGATAAGGTAAAACATCAAATCAACTTCAATTGAATTTGCCATTAAAATTAGTAGAAACTTTTACTAGATACTTTTTTTTTATTAGCCTGGTTATATGTACAAAACACTTTTTGTATGCAAAATTCACTAATTGCCAATGAATGTTTTACGAATGGCAAACTTCGTCAAAACGTGTGAAATTTTTGATGCAAATTTCATAGTTGCAAAACTTAATAACCTCCCATAAACAAGATGCAACAAAACATATTTGAGTTCTCAAAGTAAATATTACTTAAGTAAACTATTTGAGGGCGTTTACATACTTTTTGAAGTCTATTCACCGTTGGTTTTACATGTAAATCTACTGAGGGCGAAATATAAATTTGTTCTTTAACTAAGAGCAAATAGTTTCCAAAAGTAAGCCTCACACTTTTGACTTTTAAATAAACAATTTTGGAGCGTTGAAATACTTTTTAATGTATCCAAAATTTATCATAAACCAGTTTTAATAAACTAAAATTATTTCTTAGAATAGTTTTATTTAAACCAATCCTGTTTATAAATAACTATAAAACTTGATATATTTAGAATTTGTTGTGTTCTTTTTTGGATAGTTTTATATAACGAACTAAATAACGTCACAAAAACTTTGTCGGCATACTTCGGTATATTTTATTTTCATTATTATACAATTATTAAGAAAACTCAAATTATTAGGTATATTATTTAGTTGTGAAAATTAAATGCCAGAACTTTTAGAAGAGTACGCACGCCTTCGACTTTCTGTAAACAAATTCATGATCATGGTTAATGGCGGCTTTAACTGTTTGATATATAGTTTCAATGATACAAGACACAGAACGTATTTATTTTCTTGATTGCGATCACCGTAAAGGGTGCTAGCTGGTGAGGTTTAATATCTCGCGATTCACATTGTTGTCGGACCTCTGATTCAGGTTTTATTCTGGGTTCAGCAATCTGATTAATCAAGTATGTGCGAGATTTTCTTTTCAGGTTCTAAGCTTCTGCCAGAACCGAGTTCTGTATGCCATGTTTTCTGTATCTTCGTCTGCTTATCTTAATACTTGTATTCGCAAAAGTGGTTGAAGCTGAAATCCACATACTTTGAAGTGACTCAGTCGTAGCGCAGTCGACTCATTTGCATTTGTTTGGCAGTTAATAACTTTTGCTTTTGTTTGGCTGCTAGTCTGGGCACTGAAAAATGTTTGAAACCCTAATTAATTATGTGCGTGTCAAATTACGTAAGATGTTCCGACGAAATGAAAGTAAACGCTCAAATGTCTAATTTATGCGGATTCTCAGAGATCGTTTCGGTTACAATGTATTTAAAGCGCTAAGCGTCATGGCGATCTTATATTTATTCAGCGGAAATGCGACTGTATTTTTGGCCAACTGATCGATATAAAGCTATATATAGATATACGCCAGTGGATCTGCGTCACTGCGCATGCTCAGCTGCATTTATATGGAGCTTTAAGTTGGCTCTGAATGAATCGAGATAGTTTCTTATTCTTGACCGTGCTTCGTGTCACGTAGTCTTTGATCAAAAGCCACAGGCAGTGAGGGGAATATCGGGAACCCCCATATCTCATTCTTCAAGCGGAAGTCAAGATAAAGTTCCATGATTAATGAGAATCTGAAACTCTGTACGTAATTGCCTAATTTAGTCTTGTTCTCACTTGTTGCCAATTCGTAAAAATAAAACTTAGTCGAAGCAAAAAGAACAACTTAAAGAGAAGCAATTTACTTATTTTATAAAATTTGCATTTAAAATATGAACCATTTCATTAATTAATTAAAGTGAAACTTTTGCTTATTTTATAAAAACAATATGATATTTACAAACATTTTTGATATCAACAAACGGGTAAGCATCTGCTTAATCAGATTATCACGCTCTGCTTTAAATTAATAAACGCATTAGCATTTATGTCATTCAATTATCGCTTTAATATACTCTTCTTTGAGAAATTTATTTAAATCTAAAAAGTGAACGTATTTTCAAAATGGCTTCCATTTTAATTACGGTATTATTGGTGATAATTTAAATTCATTATGTGCATTGCTTTTTGGGAAATAAAAAATTAAATAATAAAGGCTTTTAATAATGCCTTACTTAAAAAAAAATATATGTTTGTAAACAATTTCACAAGAGATAAATTAAAATATATCTTAAAATAAGTCTTATTTGGATATGTAGCGAATTAGCCTCTTAAACGATATGTGGGAGCGTTAGCAATTTTTTCTTTTTTGTTTGGTTCAATGCAAATTAATTTCGTTCTAGGTAGTAAATTAAATAAACAAACAAAACCCACTTTTTGCCTGGCAATTGAAATAAAGCGAATTAATTAAAATGATTTTATTGGCATCAAGTGTGTGTGTGTGATACTCCTGTGGGTTTGCTTAAATGCGATGCCAGCGAATGCGATGCGAAATGGGTGGTATTAATTAACTGCATGATTAACGATAGCACGATGGTTACCTCCCACTCCGTTAAACAAGGTTTAATTGTAGTTTAACTTTGCCATTGAACCTTGTTCATTTCTCCCAGAGCACTTGGCGTATTATCTCAATTACGGGTTAGCAATCCACTGCCACTCGAAACAATAACAAACTTGGCCCGGTAATTAAATCAAATCCGCCAAGAAGAAGAAAACGTTAGCTAAGCAAATAATACATGTGCGAACATAAACAACAACAACAACACAATCTAACAACAAACGCGAAAGCCGCTAAACAAATAATCAATGTTGGAAAACGAAAATATGTAGTTATGGGTATATGTATCTTAAAGAACGTTTATCTGCACGTGTTTTGGAATTCGGAGTGAGGGGTGAACGGAGAAGAAGAAGAAAAGAAGAACAAGTCAACACGCTAAAAATATCAACCAATTTTTTCCGCTAAAAGGTCACGTACAAAAATAAAAGTCAAAACTCGACGCCAAAAAGCAAGAGACGCGATTCAAACAAACAAAAAAGAACGTAATTAAGTTAAAGAAAAATCTGGGAATCAAGCTTACGAAATGGGTAGTGTGTTTTTTGTTTTCGATGGGCATGTGTGTGTGTGTCGGTAACCCCAAGCAAAGTCAAGGCCCTCTCATTCACTCTCTCTCCCTTTCGCTTACTCTTTCGCTATGCTGATTAGCTTCGGATTTTACAGTTACTCCATGACCCTGAGCAATGTCAGGCAGTGGCTTACACAGGGGGTACATAAAAATAATATTTAATATTTATAATTCAATTTAAACTAAGACAAAATAATTTTATATACATGATGCCCTCATTAATCATTTTGTAATATTGACAGATTTTATAAAAGGTACATTAAAAAGAAACTTAGCTTAAAATGTCACAATTAAATTGGATATTAAAATATGAAAGCTTATTTAAAACTGGAATTTAAAACACTCACAGTCTAGAGTATTTAGTCATTGAGAAAATCATCTCGTAAAAGTATACCAATACACCAAGTCGTTAAATTTATAAATTTGTTAAGCTATACCCCTCAGTTGAAAAAATGATTCTCACGCCACAGACTTAAACATTTTACACCTATCTTTAATTTTGAACACATAAGTGTGACCAGTTATTAAAAAAAATAGGTGCCAAAATCGTTGAACAGGCAAATTTGATGCTATCCCCCTTTGTTGCCATTGTTTGTTGTTGCGAGAGCTCGTTGTTTGGCTATTCAAATTTTATGCATTGTCAGCGGACAACAATAAAATAATATGAGTGGGGGTAAACAGCCGGTTGAACATACAATTCAATTTAACGCTATGCGGCCCGCCCGGTTATTTGGTTTTCTAGTTCAAGTTGAGGGTCAGTAGCTGATTCGGCTTGCATTTTGGCCCGGCTTTGTGTGTTTGTTTGCAATTTGTAAAATTGCCAAACAAATATTGATTGGCGAACGCAAAAAAGGCAAATCGAAATAGCAGTATCTGCTTGTCGACAACGGCGAAAATCTCACAGTTGCTCCCTTCAATTGCCCCACCTTTAATGTTTATATTTAGCCAGGGCAAACTGTATAAGTGGGACGAGGTAGGGTGTTCCTAAGGGCGGAGCCGGTTTACCGTGATTCATCACAGGTTTAATGCATCACCCGTCGAGTTTTCCACACAGAAAATATAGATTATCTCTATCTGCGTACTAAATGTTTTAATTGCCACTTATTCATTATATTTTGAAGCCGACAATGACTCAATCTGTTTTTTCTACTGTAAAGAAATATGTCTCGTTACAAAAACTTTACCCATTATTAAAATATTTTTAATTTAGTAACCTTTTTAAATATGGTTTGACTATAGTTCGTAAGGTTTTTAAGTCTACTGTCAATTCTCTATAAACTATACCTTTAATTATAATATTTTAAAGTCATTTTAGTAAATAACAAATTAATAGCCTTTTTAATTTTGGTTTTACTACACTTCAGTTCGGTTGGTTGTTAAGTCTTGTGACAATTCTCTAAAATATCTTGATTTGATTTATTGATAGACCTTTTAAAAAGTTGAAAATATTACAGTTTTTGCAAGTGCAGGAACTTAATTCAGTTTTCCAAACAGGTGAGGAAGGTTAAAGCCACAAAAGCGGCACTTCAAAATGGAATATGGTATAGGAAATTAATTGAACAAGGTGGAAAGTGAGGGCTACACGTGACTGGTTATGCGGTAGATCAGTAATTAATGCATAAGTAGACTAGCAAACAATTATTCGGATGACTGATATACAGTCATCCCACAGGGCAAAGTTTCTCTTGCCCTTTGCTCATGAATATTGATTGGCCAATTGACGGGATTATTTAGTGAGTGATTTGTCTGCCGTCAAATCAATTTTTATTGAGGTAGATCAAGTTATTAAGCCAAACAGGTTAATCTTAGAAATGGCATAAACGTAAGCTCTTAATATTTAGCTAAGATCAGATAATATACTATATTTCCTTGTTAGTTTACCAAATATGATTGATCTTACTGAATTAAATGTTATTAATGAGCCAAATTGTTAACTAATAATTAAACATACGACGGAAAGCATATGTATTAATGCAAATGAGCCATAAAAGACTTAAAAATAATTTTTATTTGTGGAACTCACTGAACTTGTTTTAAGTTGGATTCTTCTTTACGTCAAATTTGTTTTTTTAAATTCCAATTTCATTACCTTTTATTATAAGTTGCCACTATAAAAAAATACTTCCGACTCTGTAGAGAATATATTATTATATATTCTTGTTTTATTGTGGATTTAGACATTTTAAAAAATATTTGACGACAACATTCTACAGCTGATACAGAAAATATCGATTCATTAAGATGGCTGCATACAATTTTAAAAATGGTAATTTTGTTTAAACGATTTCAGCAGTGCAGTTTATACATATTTTATAAAAATCTTTGGTCTATATATTTCGGAATTTACTCTTTCTTCTGATTTATCACAAAGGCCCTAATAAGTTTACAAATAAGCGGTATATAAAGAGCATATAAATATCGACTTACCGCAGTTAGCTTCCTTTCTTCTTTAGTTTAAGAATAGCCAAATTTATGTATTCCTTATATCTGGTTCTGGTTTTTAAGCCTGAGTTCAAGGCGGTTCCGGTCGATTCCAGCTGCAGTTCCATTGTGCAGCCAACTTATTATCGACTCAAAACCATATAACTTTAATCGCCGAAATCGTAGAACAACGAAACCTGGTCTGGGATCGAAACTCGGTCAGCCAGATGAGGTGAGCCACTTGCGAAGAGCTGCGGTTCCAGTGATCCACTGAGCCCAGTGATCCACTGAGCAGCTGAGCGGTGGAGCAGGTTCACTGAACTGCAGTCACCTATGGCTTGGCATTGGGAGCGAGCGAGAGGCAGAGCGCACTCACTGTGGGTGTAAAGAGCTCGGTGAGTATGTGGGTCAGGCCGACAATTACACTGAAAGTAGGCGGTCCACTTTTCCTCAAACCCGTTTACAGTTAACGACGGCAGATGCTAAGAAAGCTGGGAAAACGGAAAGAACGAAAGAAATTCGCAGCTCGCGTACGTTCTCTTTTTCTCATTTGCGAAACTTTATATTGCAAGATGGGCTGTAAAGTAACAGCGCTGCACTCTCTCTCTTGGGTAATTTTTAGCAATACCAAAGACTGCTAGAAAAAACTGTATGAAAGTATGAAAGTAGCTTCATATATCTCTTTCTCTTTATTTACCAGCACTCTGTGACTCAAATAAGGTTTCTATTTCTAGATTTGTAATTTTTATTTTAGCGTTGGTAAATTGCAACTTGCACCTAACCTTAACTGATAAATTTAATTTAAAACAATATATTTGGTTTTTCCTGATAGTAATTAAATTTTATTTTAATGTATCACAGTTTTTATTTCAAACCGCCAGTTGTAGTTATTACTAAAGAGCCACTGTGTAAACAAGAGAGAGATAAAAGTAGTAAAAACACTCTCTTTTCTCTTTTGTATTTGCAGACTATAACATTGCAATTTACACTGTTCTTTTAACAGTGCGGCAATAACCACGATCTCTCTCACTCTCTTACATTAACAGCAGCCGGTCTGCTAACAGCGAGAAAGCAAAGTGAAAGAAATCGCTGTAACATTTTCATGCATGCAGCCCCACTCTCTCCCTCTCTCCCCTACACTCAAATGCAAACTTTTACATTGCGATGCAAAGAGCGGAAATGCGCTGCTGTTGCTCTCTTCATGTAACGCAGGCTATAAAAGCGGCGCATGCGCTGGGTGTTTTCCGCAGTCGCGCAGCTGCACTCGAAAAGAACGCTTCGTCCGGTTAATAAGTTCTTCCATTTAAAGAAAAACCTACATAAAATCATTGCCAAAATGTCGACGAGAAACACAACTACAACGCAGCGCAACCTCTACATCACAAACGAGGTGAGTTCCTGCTTTGCCAAAAACAAATATAAGCCAAAAATCAAAGCACAAAAGGAATGCGCCGGAATGAAATAATTTACGAAGTCTGCCGCGGGCACTTTTGATTCTGATTACGATTCTACTTCTGATTCTACTTGTGATGCTGATTCTGATTCTGATTCTGACGAGTGGCACTCCGAAACTGGCTGCTAATTAGTGCTGCCTCATTAAAAGCGAACCCAAACTAACGAAACTGTTGCTCGGACACTCGAGACCGCTCTTCAGAAAAGCCAGAAACCCAGAAATTATAAACAGTGCAAAAAGTCGGGCAAACAAATCTGAATAGCAACGGCTGGCCCTGCTGCCTTGTAATTGCGAAACAAAAGCCCCATTTACGCCAGGTCAGAGTTTCCGTCCTGAGCGAAATACCCAAATTAATAATCAATGGAAACAATTAGCGCGCGAAATGCTTTTGCGGGAAAACTCGTTCCCAAAACACTTTTGCTTTTGCTTTCGGATAAAGTCTCTCAGATTCCAAGAACGCTGGCGCAATATTGGATTTGAAATGATTAGAATAAATTAGTATTCATTTTCGCGAGCAAACAGCTGCGGGCTTAGAGCTTAAAGAAAGCAACAGTAAAACGCAAACAGCAAATATCCAGATTTTCGAGCTGCCCGCAGGCCAACATGAAAAAAAAACGATGAAAACAGAGGCCCAAATAAAATCAAATGCAAATTATAAAGAAATAATAATAATAATGTGGCTAATTATGAGTGAAATTTGAGGAAATCAAATAAATAGAAAGAAGAACAAAGCGAAAAGAAACCGGTCATTGGCAGGGAAGTGGAAAACAAATTTGACAGCCTTAAAGTAATAAAAACAAACAGGGGAACTCAAGTTTTTGAAGAAAAAAAAAATGATTTAATATTGGCTAACAAATCTTAATAAATTCTAAATAAACTGTTCGGTTTTCGCTTTAAAAAATAATTTTTGTTAAATCACTGAATGTAAATACAAATTTTTGGTTTTTTTAAGTTTAAAGATGAAATTATAACTCGTATTTGGAAATTCGTTTTTAATTAAATTTGTTTTTTTAAATACTTTTTGAAATTAAAATAATAGTAACTGACATTGAACTTTGAATGTTTGATTATGCATCAGCAAGTTTTATTTTAAAATATAAATTTTTATTTTTACAATCTTTAACATGTGGAGGAATAAAGGAATGCTTTAAATTACGTGAGGCTTTAAATAGAACACACTGGAGCAGGTGAGCGAACTGCTGCGGTTACCTCATTAGCAAAGTTAAATGAGATTGTGTAATGCCCCCGCCCTGCCCACTAATATGCAACCGAAACTATAATTAAGCATGAGCGACGCAAGAAGACGCCAATTGCCACCCTCATGGGCTGCAGCCCAGTTTTGTTGGCAAAGTAATTAACGTTTATTGGCTGCGGACAAACAAGAAGTTCGTGGGCTGCCTGCCGCTGCGAGTTGCCGAACACTCGGCTTATTTTCGTTAATTCAATCTTCTTTTCGAAAAACATATATTCAAATGTGGGTCCTGGTATTCGGTTACGCCCCCACAAAATGCGCGCCTCTGTTTGTTTACCGCGCGCTTAGACGTCTGTTTGCTTGCCCAATATTTACCCGAAAATTTTAAGTAAGAATAACAAAAAGATTTTTGAGCACCCAAGTCAACAGAATGTCAGTGGCACAGTGAGGCGAAAGAGCCACAGATATGTACATAAGTGCTATCGATGGCAACAATTACCAGACATCGAGGCGTATGCGTGATATTGCTAGTCGACATATCACGCATACGCCTAGTATGCAAACGGAAACTGCATGAACAGCAAATGTTTTTGACCAAGTCTTGTGCTCATACCGTCTGCTGTCCGGCTGACCGTAATTCAACTTGGCCAGCTGCAAACAGATTCAATTTACATTGCGAAATGCAAATGCATTGGTCAGAATAAAATCCCATATTCAGATCTCGCTTCGGACAACTTCTTCTTTTTTTCCTCTCGTTTTATTTCTCTTTTATTTTGTGGTATTTGTTCAGTTTTTGTCATGCAAATGGAATATCACATTCTTACACACAATTCACTTAGTGAAAAGGGTAAACTGCTTGATTGGCAACCTTTCCTATAAATCTAAAAAGGGACAAAGGTCCTAGTCCTGTAATTTATATTTGTTGAAAATAGTTTTTATGTATTTTTAATTACACATTTGTAACTTTGGCCGAAGCTTACAAAATTGTCCATCCAGTTGCTTTAAATTCCAAACATTTTCGTTTTGCAAGAAAGGTCATCTTTATTTACATAGTAAATATTTTTACAATTTAAAATATCTCTTTGCTATACTCAGTTTAAACAGCTCTGAAATAGTTTTTAAATGTGATGTGTAAGCATTTAAAGACCACAAAATGAATAAAGGTCAAATATCAACTCCTCTAAATATGAGCATGATTATGCTAACGGAATATAAATGGATTTTATTTTTTTAACAACACAAACAAATAGCAAATCATGAACTCTATTTCAACTCCAGTGAATAAAAAAACCCATGTTTCTTGTCGGCGTTTTTTGTAAAGTTTTCAAGTACAAAAGCGGACAGAATCTTTTTGGCCAACTAGGGTCACGGCTGAGATTTGTTTAATTATTTGTTTAATTAAGCGGCAGCATGCGGCTGCATTTGTGTCAGGGCTGCCACAGAATCTCCAATGTCTCGCAGCGCTTAATAATATTCGTTAAAATGCTTTTCGAGTAACAATTAGACAACAGCAATTGCTGGGTTAACTGCTGTCCCCTTCGGACCCCGCCTCTTCTGGCCAAAAGTCATGGAGTGTCACGGCCTGCTGGACTTGCTTTGACCTGCTCTGCACTCGCTTTTTATGTTTCCATTTTTTGATTGCTGTTTTACGTAGTTCAGAGCCAGACGGCACAACAAACACAGACAGTCATTGATGGATATATACTTGGATATACTCGGGTTTTCGCAACTAAATGCGGGCTCACAGTCCGTTGGATTTGAACCTTTCGCCTTGGACGGCTTTCGAAATACTTGGGGCGGGAAAATTCACTCACTGCCAAGTGGAAAAACTCGATGCATCCAGCTGAAAAACTGGTTGGCTGGCCTTGGTCTAATCCACATTTCAGAACCTCCAGCCAGCAGCAACAGGCAGCAGATTCTGTCTCGACTGGCTTTTCCAAACTTGATACTCGATTGTTTGGCCTACGTTTCAGCCATGGCTGTTGGCCAGAACGAAAATCTCGTCGCTGCACTGCAGCCAGCCACTTGACTTTGCAATCATACCGTTTTGGACCGCAGCACACCAAACAAGTGACGTTCAAGTGCGGAGATTGCCAAGATCATGAGCTTCAACAATGATGTACGGCGGCTGTCGTCTCCATTCGATGCACATCCTTTAATGACATTTCTCCCATCTATTCTTTCAGATAATCATCACCGCCATGGACCGATTCGTTTGGTTTGTCCTCCTGGTGGTCATGTCGCACCTGGTCACCGAGTTCACCCGCGTATCCGGATACGCGAGAGGCCAGCGTCACGAGCTGGTGCTGCTGAACGATGTAAGTATCGAAACCTGCTCGGAAGGTCATTAAAAATAATTACTGAGCGGGGCTGGCACGCAAAAATAAATGTTAAAAATATGGTTTGACATTTTAAGAAGGCTTATATAGTTTTTTTTTTAAGACACACAGTTCTTTCAAATTGCATATCTGAACCAGACAGTTAATTGAAATAATCTCTAACTTTAGCCTAAATGCAAATGTGTACTTTTTCTATATCAAAACTATATCGTTCAAGGATCAAATCAAAGTCGAAAACATTTTTTGCATATTATACTATCAGAAAAAACTGTATTTTTATGTGATTTCTTGTCAATATATAAACAGAAAAAATCTTTCTTAAAAATCTTGAAATATTAAAATTTTAAATATTATATTTTTACTTGTTTTTTAAGTTTATTTTGAAGAACAAGAATATTTATTTTTAATCGTATTCTTACAAGAGTGTAAATGTTAATACACAATTTTCATCTCTGGTTTGTTTCTAAGAAAACCCTAAAAATATTTTCAAGTCATATAAAAACGAGGACGGAAGCTAACTTCGGCAAGCCGAAGTTTTAATACCCTTGCAGACTTTGACGAAATTGCTAAAAGTGAAAAAGTAGCGAAAGGAATAAGCTATACATAAGTAAACTAGATTTGCATCGTTTCAAGTCAATTGCTTTTATACTGCAAAAATGTCATATACAAAAGGGATACTTTCGCAGCCTTTAACAATTTTTCCTATCTCCTTTAAGATATAGACTTCCGAGCGGCAAGCGCTTTTACCCTAATCAAGATATGCGTAAATAAATAAGAATTGGAAAATTTTATGTTAGTAGCTTACACACTGCGCGAAATATTCTGATAATCATCAAATTTGGACCGATTTCACCCTATTGTTCCTATGGGAGACGTCCGATCGGCACGCGCTTTCACCTTGATCAATGTATGCATAAAAAAATAGGATTTGGAAAGATTCATGTCAATAGCTTGTATACTGCGTGAAATATCCTAAAAATCATTAAATTTTAACCGATTTTACCCTTTTGTTCCTATGGGAGCTATAGGATATAGACGTCCGATCGTCACGCGCTTTTACTCTGATCAAGGTACGCATAAAAAAATAAGATTTGGAAAGATTTATGTCAATAGCTTTTACACTGCGCGAAATGTCTTCCATTCTTGCAAGTTATATCCGATTGTTCCTATGGGAGCTATAGGATATAGACATCCGATCGGGGCGGTTTTCAAACTTGATCTGCGTACACTTGTTTTAGGACGACTGTGAAAGTTTCAGATCGCTAGCTTTTAAACTGAGCTCGCAAACGGTATTGAAACAGACGGACAGACGGACAGACGGACGGACGGACGGACGGACAGACGGACAGACGGACAGACGGACATGGCTATATCGACTCCCCTATTGATCCTGATCAAGAATATATATACTTTATAGGGTCGGAAACGTCTCCTTCACTGCGTTACAAACTTCTGACCAAAATTATAATACCCTCTGCAAGGGTATAATTTTAACAAAATTCTTTGTATTTTGGAATTTATATATTTCATATATTCATTTTCTCTCTGTGCTTCTGAAACAGATATGAGCTTAGCTTACTTTTGATTATTCGTTGACGTAATTTTGACGAGTGATTAACATTTTGGTGACCTTTTCAGACGATGCTGCAGCCGATGCCCGTCCAGAACATGGTCCTCTATCCCAGCCAGGACTATGGCCAGTACCAGCAGCATCCCTCCTCCTCCCCCGCAGGCTCCTTGGGCAGCCTGCAGCAGAATGCAGCCATGCTGTTCAGCAGCTTGGCCGCCGGAGTGAGTCCGGGAAATGGAGCAACTGCAGCGGGATCTGCTGTCCCCGGCAGCAATGCGGCCATTTTGGCCCTGGGCGATAGTCAACCTGCTCACACGGCCGAGAACACATACCCGATGTTCAGTTTACGACCCCTGATCGACAGCATTTTCGAGGTGAGTTCACGCCATTTGCCCTGCAGTATTTTGGAATTCACGAAAACCGAAAACCATGATTTATACGAATTTTCTGCCCCAGATTCCAATTTCGACGCTGCGCGCTGTCAACAATCTGGTGGGTCGCCTGACCGGAGGATATCGCCAGGCCCCAACGGAAAAGTCACAGAAATCGGTGGCAGCTGGAACCGCTTTGCCATCCAGTAGACAAAATCCAACTCTAAATGCACATCCCAGTTCCCATCAAATGCGCGAAGAGATGGCGTAATTTTATGCCCCATTTTAGTCAGTACTTATGTGTGAATGTTGTAATTCCTGTAATATTATGTTTAGAGTGAGTTTTTAGTGTGCATTTTTTACCCTTGTGATATATGTGACCTTGTTGTAAGTCTAGCTTAAGGATATTTATGTCCATCCAGAAGAAAATCCCAAAAAAATAAGATTACACAATAAATGTACTTCCTACAAAGAAAAAATTGTTTTTAATTGTAAATATATTTTAAAAGAAACCAATCGGTTTTATACATTTCAATATGTAAAGTAATTAACCTCTTTTTTATTGAGGAATTAAAATTCGTTTTTTTATTGAACTACCACATGAAAATACTAGAAATAGTTTGCAGATATTACAAAAATAATAAACTTTCATTGTTTACTTTTATACTGCAGTTAAAATAAATAAAAAGTAAAGTTTCATCGCAGCAGTAACCATTAAATTAAATTTTTTTGAACATTGTTGTTATGGATAAAGCAATCAAAAATGCTACACATTGTTGTATAGTTTTTTAATTTGTGGGTATGTATATGATTGTTTTATAAAACATGGATTATTGAATTTACATTCACAGAAAACAAAAAAATGTAAGTAATAATGCGCTCCCCAAAAAAATAGAATGGTTTCCGTTTTTTGCCACTTAAAGTTTTTTACTGTGTAAATGTTATAAATTGACAGCTGCAAAGCATGCAACAAATTATTTACTTTACCATATTTTGTTTTGGCATATTGTGTTGCATACTTTTAACGCTTACAGCAATATGTTTAATCTTTTTATATGAGTTTGTAAACATGTCAGTACAAATATAAGTTAATTCATTGATGCAAATGACGGCTGTGCAATGGAAATCGATTAAAAAAATATATTTTTGAGGGTTTTTACCAATATTATGACCCATTGACGAGTCAATAATCGCATATCAGCGAGTCGGCAAAAAGCACTTCCCCATTGATTGACCAATGTGAAAGGTTATCAATAGAGCAATGACACTTCCTAGGATTTAAATACTGCAACCAATGCTTTCCTGAAATACATCCGCAACTAAAGTCAATTAATTAATTTAAGCTTATTGAGATATATATTTAAAAAAAAAAAAAGATTTCGTGTAATTAATGTAAAAAAACGTAAGATGAAAAAGAACATCAAGTGACTTTTTGCTAACGAGAAAAATGCCAACCATCTATCTGCTATTTCCCAATGTAATCATGCGTGATGTAAGAGACCAGAGCCAACCCAATCGCCAATGAATTCAATTTAATTATATTTTCTTTTTGGACCCTTTTCGATGGCATTTGATTTCGGCCATCGCATTCTAAATTATCCAGCACGTGCGCTGCGGATTTTGGCCAAAAAACGGAGCCAGAGGCAAAGGCAAAGGCACATTAGCACAGGCAGCTCTGTTTATCATTTGAATACCTAATGAGCATTTCGCTGCGACAAAAGAAGAGAGTCCAACAGCGTTAAATTGGGAATGGATAAGCACCAGAGTCCGAAATCAGCCAGCCGAATTGGAGAAACCCCAGAAGAGAAATAAAATTATAATGGAAACTTTGGCAAACAAAAAAAAAATCACTACCATTCAGTACCTATTAATTTGTCCGCCTGCAATTGGCAAACCCAATTTGCCTGCAGCTTCATTGAAGCGTAAACGAAAACAAAACCAAAACCGAATTTATGGCCAAATGCGGCCAATTGCAAACAGTTTTAAAGCCATCAAAAAGTGGACGAGGAAGGGGCGTTGAAAGTCAAAAACCGGTTGGCCAATATTCGCCAAATCGGATGCACTTTAATGGGGTCTATGTATGAGTAATGTAGTAGTATTGCAACCATTGTAAGATTCTGTAATTCTATTTGAGTCATGGAAAATCGAAGATTATTATAGGCTGATCGATTGATAACGACTTTGAACTCTATAATCTAAACAGCAGTATTGATTTCATAATTTGATTTCATAAATGTATGTATATACATTTCCACAAATCTAAAACATTAATCGTCTGATTATTTTCCACTTGAAATTAATTAATTTAATGGAATGTCATGTAACAGTTCTCCCTTAAACTAAATTGTTTATTTCTAGCTAGCTACGAAATATAAAATATTAAATTACTTCCTAAAACTGTGATATTATGTCATTGAACTTTTAAGGTTTTATGAATCTTTAAAGCTTTCTAATTTATGGAAAACCTTTTTGGCTTTCTAATTAACCTTGCTTGTAAAAAAATAGATATGTAAGCTAAAAGTGTTTTGTGCAAAACTAAATATTTATTTAAAAAATACAATAAATATTTATTTGTATTAAAAGAAATTCAAAGAAAAAACATTAAACTTAAGATATAATAATTTGCCTATGAATTTGCTTAAATTTCTATTGTTATAAGTGACAAGACTTGGCTAAACTTGATATATTCTATGGCCTAAATGAACAGACGACTGACCACAAAAAACGCCTATTCTGCCATGCCTGAGATGTTACCAAATTCTCACCCAGTTGTTAAGACAGGTGTTGGCAAAGTGCTAATAGGTCGCCGAAATCACTGTATACACATTTCCTAAAATTCTTGCATCATCATTGCAGCGTCCAGAGTTCCCTGCACATCGGCTCCAGAGATAATGAGTTATAATGGGTAAAAAGGAAAGAGGCGGCGACCAGAACCCAGAGAGGCTCCTATATAAATAGACCCCTGCATACTTAATTGCGACACAATTCCAGTTTCGCGGGGCATTACAAGCCGCAGACAGTAGACGGCAGACAGTGGATTCCATTCCCCTCAACGAAATTCAAGTTTAAGCCCGGCTCAAGCCACTCGAGCACTCAGTTCAAAGCGAAATCGCGACGCGACAACAACGGACAATCGGCAGCTCAGACTAGCAAAATAAAATAAAATATAATAAAAACGCAGAGCATCTAGGAAAGGTACAACAAAGAGCTAGAGCTTTGTTGATTAATCAGAAAAGTTGAATTCGCACAATTATGCTACTCGGTGGCCGCTCCCCATAAAAGTGCGAGGAAGAATTCTTTACAAAACGCGACTCGAATACAAAACGAACCTGGAATTGATTCCAATTTTGGATTTTGTTTGCAGGTGCGCAGAATGTTCGTCTTACTTGGAGTACTCTGTCTGCTGCAGGCAGTTAGCTTGGTGCCAGCACAGGTGAGTCCTCCGGATTCCGGTTCCCAAAAATTAATTAAAAGCCGCCACTGACTGACACCTGCCATTGGGCCAAAACACTTACCCATCGGCCAAGTGCGGTTCGAAATTATTTTAATTACTTCGCTGTTGGGCTGCTTTATAGGTTTTAGCACCGCTACGTTTATTTGGTGACCAAACTCCTGAATAAACAATTTCAAGGCCTTAAAAGCTCAATACGCAGCTGACTCAAATAAAAATTTTCCATCTTCCCGATGAATTTCTCGCTTCTAATTGAATTATTCATTAAACTTGATTAATAGATCAATCAGTGAATTGCATTTCCTGCCGCTTAAGCAGAAAAAAGAAATGTAATAATTATATGCAATAAATTCTCGCTATAGAATATATTGTGTAATTTATTTTCCACGATTTTATAATTGTCAAAGGATAGAGTTGTTAATTTGTTTTCTGATATATTTATTTTGATTTTTAAAATATAGTTTGAAAAATAATTTTCAACCAACAAATATGTATTAATTCATAAATACTTCTTATCATGTATTAAAGCATGAACTATAAGTATAATTACCTACTATGCCGTTCAATGTATAACATTTTTAGGCATTCAAAAAATCTCAGTTTGAAAACCAGATTTCGCTGATTTTGTTAGAATTTCGTTAAGTGCTGCCCACCACATAATTAAAATCTGCATTAGAACCTCGGGCCATCAGAGCCGCAGCGTGGAAAATTTTATTTTGCGGTTATCGGCCACAAAATAAGGGAAAAGGCGAAAGTGCAATATTCGATTTCGGCGGGAGTGAACTTTGCTGCGGCTTAAACCGTTGCACAATGTCCGGTAATGAAGAATTTTTAGTGCGCGATTTCGCAACACGCCTAGCCTTTAATTGCAGGCCAAGGCAAATGCTCGTTGGATTTTACTTACCTGCCTGGATGGCAATTACATGGCAAACTCAACACCACTTGCTTATCATTAATCTTGGCTTCACGGGCCGCGACCAACTATTATACATCATTTTAATAACTGCAGCTGGTTTAGTGGCTACCGCTTTAGTGGCTGCCTTGAACTTTGGCGACCCAGGCTAACTAATATCAATTTAATTGCATTTTTCACCACCGATTACTTATACGCCGTGTTGCACACAAGTTACACGTATAGGTATTTTATGGTAATTAAAGGTTTAAGGCGGAAATACCATAAATATTTTGTGTTAAATGGATTTTAAATTTAATTTGAATTTTATGTTCAAGTACTTAAAGTTTTTCTTTTCTAATTACTATATAATATTAAGGCTTTTACTTGCTTATCTAAACTTGCTTACATAAATACCAATTAAATTTATAAATCCTGCCTAACGAATATAAAAAAAATGTATTTAAATATTAACCCTGAAACTTTTGAGAGAATATTCTATCAAATAATGTTCTTCATTTTTGGTTAGTTATTTAAAGCTTTTTTAATGCTTATATGCTACCAGTCCATGTTATTTTAAGCCAAGCATTTGAAAGCTTACAGGTGAACATGACTGACCAAAGGAATTTGAACGCAACTTTCCTAAAAAAGATTTTATGCCAGCACACTTTTTCACCCTCCAGCACCTTTTTCTATTGTTTTCTTTCATTGAGATTTTTTACTTGACAGAAAAGTTTATTTCTGTTTGCGGCTTGGGGGCTTTAAGAAATTAGATTTTAATCAACGCATGCATGAAATTTGCGTTTACCAGCTAAATGGAAAAACCCCAAATAATTTTTTGTTTATTTTCTGTGTGGGTCGTGGAAATTGAAATTAAGAGCGCACGTAAAAAGTCCTGAGAAGGGTTTGCCGCCAGCCAACTTGCAATTTGAGGCAGCCATTCCTTGGAATTCATGCAAATTACTAGCCATTCATTCCATTTCGCAGGTTTAACCAACAAATCCTTTCACTTCTTTCTCTATCTTTGTGGGTCATGACCCAAGCCTATGAATTTTGGGAAACTCCTAGCGGCAATCTTTAATCTCCCATTGGGTATATTAAATTAACTGAATACAATTGTGGCACTTTACTGCCAACTTAAATTAGCTGAACACAATTGTGGCATTTTACTGGCTACTCAGAATAGCCATATCGCGATTTTTATCAGTGGAATGAATGTTCTGCAAATATGCGAAATGAATACATTTACAGCCTTTAGATTGTGGAAATGTTAAAACATTTAAATTACTCCAGGCAAATATTGAACAATGCAAACAGAAGCTCTGCTTATTGTTTGGCTAAATAAATCAGCTTAATTATTTATTTGCAATTAGTTATATATTTTGGTATTTGCAGAGGGGTAAAATAATTCAATTATTTAATGAATTTACTCACCTAGTTTGCCATTGAAACGAGCACAACAACTTTTTATTTTGTGACAGCACAATGTAATGAATTTGGGATTTGTTTTGAAGGAAACTTTTTTTACCAGCATGTTATAGGGTTTTTGCTATTTAGTTGCTGGTTGTTATATATTCCTCCTTTTTAATCAATTGAAATTATCATAATTAGATAGATTGGGATGAACTTCATCATCATTCGCTTTAAGTCTCTTACTTTGCAACTGGCAATGATAAAAAGTAGATTTTGAAAATAATAATGACAGCGGCTTACAGGTTTATTTAGTTAGTATTTGGTGCCAACAACTTACATAGTTGTGTGCCTCATTTAAATGAATTATAAAAACACGACAGCCTTTAAACGACGTCCAAACTTCACAGCCACTGGCAACTTTTCAGTTTTAACTTATTATATTTGCCACAACTTTTCACAGTCAGTAACAAAGTTTACAGTCGAAAAGGTAATACATATTAGAAGAATCTACAACAACAAATTTCACAATTATTAAAAACTTATCGTTATTATTATGAATTACCTTTTATCTCAATGAGAAAATATCTAGTTTACTCAAGATAATAATAAATATAGGTTGTCGTGGAAATTTCAGTGTCAACATGTTCATTTGATAAAATACATAGAACAAATTACGTACGCTTACAAAAATACAGCCTATTTGTTTGTATTAGAAAAAAAAACTAACGTTAATTTGTGGATGGAGACAATATTAAAATAAAATAATAATAATTATAATAAAATCTTACCCGTTCAACTCACTAAAATGACAAAATTGCTTCTATAAGCCTTAATATGTCAATAGGGTAAGAGACTTAAAGCGAAGAATTCTAGATAGTTAAAACCTTTCAATTAAAGTTTTAATAAACTTAAGTAAAGGGACAAACTTTTGGAATAGATACATAATTTAAAGTTCAAAGATTTTTGATGAATATTCAATAACAGTTTTATATTCAATAATGAATAGCCTTTATTTCCTAAACTATGTAGCAATTCTAAAATTAAATAAATCCACTAGAAATATTTTTCTTTGTGCACTTCGCTTGCACAGCTGAAAGTTCTTAGCATTTTCTACACTAATTAATATTTACAATGTGTGGGTGTGGAGTGCTCAATGTCACTAGATAATAGAGATACCTCAGAGATCCACTCCATAGATGGACACCTCGAGATGAGCTGGTTCTGGTTTGTCCACCTCCTGGCTTCTCTGGCATCGCAGGACCACAAACTGATGGCCTATGCCACCTGCCGTGACAACGGCCTCCGCTCCATCGCTCAGATCCTCGACATGTATACCCGTAATCCGGTAGTTATCGCTGGCATTCTGCCGGAGATTCCCAAGGAGATTAAGCAATTTGCACGGCAACAGCTTGATATAAATCTCACCTGCGAGCCGTAGACGAGATTTTGGGTTCCGTGTGACTGCGGCGTTAGGTAAACATCTTCGGTGTGCAGCAGGCTGGCGTATTTGTTGACATGTCCCCAGGAGACCGAGGCGGCATCGCCGAGCATCATTTGCCCAGGTAGCAGCAACCCCAGCAGCAACAGCCACATCCAGAACAACCAAAACATCGGAGGTAACCGCTGACGGCCCTTCAATTTCCACTCCCTCGCACTTGTCAACATGACAACATGTGTCCCCACCTTTCGCTCTGTACTCGAATTGTGATTCCTATTCTGATTCTGAGTGGAACACCCAGCTTTTCCAGCTTGTAAACCAACTCCTCCTCCGCTTCTAGTCGGCGTGTGAAACTCAAATGAGCTGCCGTCAGGAGGCCAAGTTAAATATTGTCGTTGTGTCTACCTGGAAAAACTCTTATCAACGTCAGGTGTGGTATGCTCTCGCATTCGCTCTCTTTTGGCCAGGGCCATTAACTTTATTGTCACACTTAAGGTACCCTAACTTTTGGGGAAGTATGATTGGTATAATAAAAATAAAATATATAACAAATATTGAACCAAAATATAACCAGAAACCAAATAGAAGTTAAAAACCCGGTGCACAGTTCGGTCAAATTTTAAAAACATTCTGTGTATTAGTATCATTAGAAGCAAAAAATGTAACTATCTATGACAAGCAACATTTCTTTATTACTTAGTGATTATTTTATTTAATATTTTTATAAAAGCCAAAATAAATTTGAAATTAACCTAGCAACCTTTCATTCATTTTTTGTGCCGAGTTCTCAATTTCACATTTTTTATTAATTAGTGATTATTTTATTTCATATTTTTATAAAAGCCAAAATAAATTTTTATTAATCTAACAACCTTTAATTCATTATTTGGCATAATTTTAAAATATAAGCAAAAGGTTTTAACTCTATTATAATGGTTTATAAAATATTTATAAGCAAGTAAATCAAATTCGCAATGAAAATAAGAACATTATTTGTATATTTTTAATCCCATAAAAAAAGTTAGAGAGTTTATAGTTCACCAAAGCCCTTAGGAAATTACACCTACATTTGTTTGGCTGTCACAATTATTGATAACTTCTTTGGAGCTCGCTCACTGCTCTCATTACCGGAGTTTCACTATCTAGCTCAACCGAACTCACCCAATAACATTTGTTATCATTTAATCGTTGTTTTGTAGCTGGGTGTTGTGACAGCTTATCTGTAGTTCTATTCATTTCAATTCTGTTCTTGGATGACGGCTAAAACGAACTGTGCAAATATTTATCAACATTTCCGACCTCTCTGAATATCTGCGCAACGAAACTTTCGACCTTCACCGATTTGAGTTGTTGAGAAATTTCGCCTAAATTGATTAACGCACAGCAACATAGGAAATATTTACAAACTTAGTTAAGCGGGTGTTTGCCTGTTTCCTCCTCTTTTTTTTTTTTGTTCCTGGCCAGACCAAAGTTGGGCCACAACTTTAGAACTATTGGAGAATGAAAAAGGCGGACAAAACATCTTGAGCCGAAAAGTTTGTAAGCGAAATCCGAAGGTCGTGGCTAACTTTGAATAGCATTAAGTATACGCAACGTGCCCAGAACTTTGTGCTAAAACTCTCACATTTTCACATTCCCAACCCTTGCCTGCAGCTGATTACACTGCGCGACGGTAAGGTGGGCGTGAATTTCGCAGGATATCACGCGGATGCGGGACTCGGAGGACTCCTGACGGGTAACTCCGCCCACGGCGGACTCAGCGCCTCGGCCGGAACTCCATGGGGTTCCCGGGCAGCCGCCGGACTGGGTGGCAATCTGGATGGTGAGAGCCTAATTGATTCGCCTTACACCGTGGATAACCCGTTTTTTTCCCGCAGGACGAGCCACCGGCGTGGGCTATGCTGCCGCACAGGCTAATCCTTCGGTGGGAGCAAGTGCCCTCCTGGGCGGCAGTGCTGGCGAACACGGTTACATCGGGGCCGAGGCCCACAGTCCTGGTAGGAAGGTTATTTCCTCATCTCAGCATGGAACTCAGTCGGCATATCCTGAAAATCCTGTTCCCGCTTCGCCCACTTCAAGTCCTGGATCTGCGGTGCCAACTGTCAGCAGCCATATTCAAAGGGTCAAGCCTCCCAAGAAGTACTCGCTGATTAAACAAGATGTAAGTATTGATTAAATTTAGGATACTTTAGTTGTAAATATGAAAAAGTTTACAGCTTTTAAATAGATAGAAAACCGAATCAATTTCGTTTGTTTATTTTTCTATAAACCAATTTGCTTTAAACAACAGTTTTGTATTTATTAATAGTTATTCAGCATTTGAAAAGAATTCAACATTGAACTGTTTTATAAAATCGAATATAACCGATTTTAATCACAAATTTTTATGGAAATCCTAACCTGCAGAGATAAATCATATTTTTTCGAGGTCCCACAGTCAAATAAACAAAAAAATGTTATTATGCGTACGTACACAATTGTACAATTTCGAAGAAATAATAGTATTTTTTAAAGAGTTTTAGTAGCTCTTTACTACTATTCTATTACTATTTCCTAAAAAAGTCATCAAATCTTTACACTACCAAAAAAGTTGAGGTGCAAGCAATCTCAATCTTGTTACTGTTTAACTTACAAGAACTATACAATTCTGCGTTGGTCCTATCAAAAATGCAAATCAACTTTAAAAGTCAAGCAATCGAGAATTTTACAGGATGCTTGCGGGGTTTCAGAAAGTATTAAAAGTGTTTTGCCCAAAGGTTTTACCTACAAATTTGAGTTCAAAAGTTCTTTAAAAGATTTTTGCAAATTTATAATTACCAAATATTGGGGTGAACTTTCGTAGTAAAATTAAAGGGAGTTGAAGACTGAAATAGCTTTTCAATTGCGCAATGGCTGGCAATAAATCCCCAACAAGTATTTAACTGGGACGTGCGGTTAAATATTGATCAATGCCCTCGTGTCGGCGAGCCAACAACAAGCAATCAATCCACTCGCCATTGATGTTTTAGCCGGACCGCAGCGAAATCATTGAAAATCATGTTAAAGCGGCCGCAGATGCCGATGTGGTGGATAAACACCCTCCCCGCCCCCCGCTCCCGGCTGCCCCGCCCACTTCGTTGATAATTGTCAAGCGGCCGCGCCCACACGCAAAGCGTCAACGGCAACGGCAACGTGTCGTATACGTGATGCAGCAACAGCAGCAGGAGCCGCAGCAACAATTTCAGGACCAGGAAGCACAAAAGGACGAGCCGCAGTCGTCCGTTGAGGTAACACCAACTGCGTTGCGGAGATGGAAACAGATATACAGATGCACAATTATACCACAGATACACAAGTCCACTCACAGATACTATTCAACACACAGATATCCACCCGCACACAATCACAAAACACTCACACACCGACACATAAACAAATTGTTGGCTTTTTGGTGAAGCTGGGCTGGATACCAAACTTTTGCTTTGAGGCTGTAATTTTATTTGAAAACATTTGCGGACAATGTGGGCAAAGGAGGAGGTTTGGGGGTCAGCTGGTGCTACCGCGGCATTATTATTTCTGTGAAATATATTTTAATACAATTTTAATTTATCCTCCCCCCAGTTCTGCTTGCATGTGATGCTCTCGTTCTTTACAAGTAATTTTCGTAACTTATAAATATCCCGCCATCCACAGGTGCCGGTGAAGAGCGAGGCCAAGGCCGTTCAGGCCCACAAGTACAAATCCGTCCAGCGAACTCAGGTCGTGAACAATCACTTTGTGGCTCCTCAGGCCCAAGGACCCGTGGGCCTGGCCCTCGATGTGAGTTTGCACCCCTCTAGTATATAATATATAGTTCAAAATATATTCTCTGAATAGTCAGCCAAATATTTATAAACTCAGTTTTGTATTATTAAACAAATATTTCGATTCAATAGCAATCACATATCAAATATATTAGAATAAACTATTTTTAGATATTCGTTATAAAATGTAAAGTAAAAGTCTTTACAATTTTGTGCTAAGAGTATAATAAATATATATATATATATGTCTCTTTTTCAATTCCAATTTTAAATATTTAAATTTTAAAATATGTATTTCTAAATACATTGATTTTTTTGTGTTTAAAGTAATTAAAAGGCAAATTACTCAATACTATAAATATGTAAACGTTTTAAAATTGTCATATTTATTGTCTGACTGAGACGAGAATTCTATAATTTGTTTTATGTTAAATAAGGATTTTCTTTTTGTCAAAGTTTTTAATATATATTTCCGTTATCCTTACAGATTCCAATTGGCATCCTGCGATCATTGCAGCAATCTCTAGGCGCTTTGACCGGCGGACCAACTCAACGTCCAGCAGCAGCCCAAGTCCACGTTTTCTAAGCTCAAAATATAACTGTAGATATAAAGTCGGTACTTGTAAGAACGCCTTAATGCATAAAACAAACATTTGAAATTAAATAAGCGTTTACGCAAAAAGCCAAACGAATTTTATTGAGAATATATGAGTTAAATACAACATTATTACATTGTCAACATCACGCTGCTTGTACAATTAATTTACAAGATCGAATAAATATTAAATTAATGCTCAAATAATATTTGTTTAACAGTTTCAAGTGATATTTGTTAAATAGAAAGTATAACGAAGAAAGTATAACAAACTAATTTGTAAAGTAATACATAAAATCTGTATTCCTCAGAAAACATTGTCCTTCGATAATTTTCTGCACTAATTGAAATTGTTAAGCTGGCACGTGTTGTATCTAATCTTGACATATTTTCCTTTTAAAATACAAATAAAAGGTCAGGTTGAGACAAATTATGTCTGAACACTTAAGTATTGGACAAACAGTTCTTGGCAAATGTTGAGGAATAATTGAAAGTGTTGTGAGCTGACACGAGTTGTGTTTTTAACGACTTATCTGGATAAAGTTCAAACAGAAAATCAGGCTTTTACGTCGTTCAGCTTATCCGTCAATTATTGAGTTGGTCAAGGCACTCAGCTCCTGGGATTTGTAGTGTTTGCCTGGTAATTGCCTGCCAGTAAAATTCAACTCTTTTACGGCCGACAAGCACTCTTGGTTGTTTGTTGTTGATTAAAGGTTCTCTCGCCATTAAATCAAATGCCACAACACAATGCAGGGAAATGAATTGAAATGGCATCCGCATATGAGGAGAAACCACATATTGCCGGCAGGAACTGTGAAAATTCGCTGGAAATTCAAGTTAGATGCTATGGAAAATGCCAAGGCATGGGTGCCTGTTTATTTAGGAAATGTGTGCGAGTGTGTTGGAGATCCAGACCTCAGACAAGATATGGCACACACATGCCACACACACTCACACACACTCAGACACACACAACAACATTAAGTGTGAGAGGGCAAAATATTTCACACTCTGCAACCGCAGGCACTTGGGTGCCCCAAATTTAGATGGGGTGTACAAAGTGGGTCTTTAGACGACGGGGGACTCACACATAAATGAATGCACGATACAAGCTACAACAACGACGACATGCATTGTGTGAGTGGGCTTAAATACTCGGAGGGCTTTTATGCTCTTAGCCCCTCGAAAAGTCACGGCTCGCCAACTGGCCATAAGGGTCAGTTTGTTTAGGGCCCGGCTCACATCCTCCGGCGGTTATAGTGGCCGCTATTTAAATTTCTTAATTAGTGCTTGGCCGGGAATTTATTGCCCGATAGTCGGTGTTTAAAACACTCAATGGGTTTCCTTTTTCAGCCTGAGTATAAGCCTGTGCAACAGGCTTGTTAAGCCTCTTGCATTTTACTTCTCCTGCATAAACAGCAGGCGGTTAGAAGGGAACAAGGTAAATTAAATGAAAACAGGGCGAAACAAGCTTTTGTTCGATACTATGCAAATTGGAAATATGGCTTCATGTCATAGCCTTTTAAAAGATTCGACATAGAAACTGTGTAAAGCTTTAAGTGGAATTGTTTAAAGCGCGTAAGCAGCTTAATAATGCCTTTTAATTTGAGCACTTTAAACACATTATGCATTTAAGTTTTGTTAAGTTCTTGTTTTATTTTATTTTATTAGTTCGAAGCTAAGCTAAGCCTAAAAATCCCAGAGCTCAATTAAAAATTCGATCGACTTATTATAAACCAAAAAAGCCAATGGACTTAGACATTTTACTTGAATAAAGAGCATTAAATCAATGAACAAATTTGTTATTATATAAATTTTAAAAAAAGCTTAGCCCTGTAATATCTTTAATTATCAAGCGAAATTTATTAACTTAATTGCACTTTAGGCCACCAGCATAAATAAATTAATTTCAAAAAAGCTTTAGCTACACCTGGATACCTTACTTACAATAAATTAGCTCCTAAATAAGATATAAATATATTTCGCGCTCATTAAATACAATATCTGGCATCCAATCTTATAACTTAAATTTCTTTAAAAAGCCAAACTGCCCAAAAGAAATTTTGGCTATAATGTTATGCATATAGACATAGTTGGGTTTATATATGTGGCGCTTTTGCTGTTTTTTTGCTTGCTCTTTTTTCGAGGAGCCCGAAGGAAAAACAGGATGAAAACCAAGAGCCTGAGGTCAAAGGCGACGCAACTCGAGCTCGATTTGTGGGTCGCGGTTGCCTCATTAAATTTAACGCACGTGCCGCACAAATTATGTTTGCCCACACATATATATATATAGGCTAACACACCCACACACCGTCCAACTGGCATACATTTTCCTAATTTAGAGTTCGGTACAAAGAAAAACGTTAGTGGAGAATTGAAAAGGTTTTTGGTTTTTATTTTGTCTGCAATTTCCTTGGACCACGAGAACGAATGAATAGGTGGTAGGTTAAATCATTCAACAAATGTACTCACTTACATACATTCACCCACACACACACACCAGCACAAACACTAACATAGTCATTTACAGGAAAAACCACACACACTTGTGCGTATTAAGTTGCCTTCTTTAGAGCGCCCGAAGGTAGGCAACATAAAATTTCCGTAATTTGCTGACGAGAACCGCACTCTAAATTGAGCTGTTGAACTTTAAGTTGCACACGAATCGAATTTCCCACATTTATATACACACCCTCTTTTATATTTTCACTTCACTTAATCAGAGAACACTAATTTTCTCCCTTTTATTTTCCTGTTTCTAATAAGTAATTAGGTTTTGTTGTTTAGGTTTCCTAAAAGGAAATACATTTAGCTATTGGTTTTTTTTATTTATTTGCTTAGATTGATTTTGAGTAGCGGTTTATATAATATTTAGCTATTAAAGTTAATTAGCTTTCTTAAATCTTAAAAATTTATTTTGTTTACTATTTGTGAAACTAACAAATAAGTAAAGAATAATAGCTCATTAACTGCAATTTTAAAAAAAATGTAAACATTTTTAGTTATCTAAATACTATAGTTTCCATTTTCTAAATTTGGCTAGTACATATTTTATTATTTGTTTTTGAGTATTTATTTTTCTCGTATATTACATTCTTAATTGAAACATCTGTGTTCTATTTATCATTGGCCGTTAATTAAGAAACTATTACTAATTCACATTCAAATGTGTTTACAACGCCATGACTTAATTTATATTCTCTCAATTCGAATTTTAGAATAAAGCAAGAAAAGCCGGAAGAAAAACGTGGCTGGGTACAACGATGCGTATGCTTCATATTCAGTGTGAGTTGCAAGGTAACTTATTGTGGCACTTATAAATATTCAGTGCCCCAAACCTGCGAAGATCGAGTGCAAAGTACCAGAGCATAAATATTCATAAATTCTGCAGGACCTTGTGTGTAAAATGCAGACCAAAAAAGCGCTGCCAAACTTTTAAGTCGCTGCTGCCGCTCTTCATTAAAGTTTTCTTGTACTTTACACACGGAACAGCAAACAAACAAGCCCACACACGTTCATGTACTAGTATATGGCATCCAAATATTCGCTGTCTGCATTATTAATGAGTCGACTCCATTTAATTGAAGCAATGTGATTGCGGCCATTGCGACAGGTGGGAAAGTGGGCGGCTTAGGGGGCGTGCCTCGATCCAAACGTTTCTGAACACCTGCCGTGTCTGGGCATATGCAAATTCGGTTTGCCACGTGCTCCGGGCTACGGATTCCAGTTTTCCGAAACCCGGCCTCCCGGCCATGTTTTCCGTGGAAATTGCCACACGGCTGGGGGGTTTGAGTGTCAACACTCGGTTCGTGGAAGTGATAACCTTTAACCTCAGCGGTGCAATTGAAATTCGCCACTCTGCCGCATAACCATTCAAGTTTTTGCCAGACGAAAAATGTATCTGTATTTTATTCAAATAAAATTACAAGGAATCATAATGTAAATATCAACGTTTATATTTGGAAACAAACAAAAGACACATTTTCTTTTTAAAATAAATAAGTAAGAAAGTATATCGGTAAATAAATTATATTCTCTGAAAAGTTAATACAACTTTCCATAAAATACACTTCCTAATATGTGGTTGAAATAATCATGTCCATCTTCAAGAATCTATTTAAAACTAATTATTTTGCAAAATTATAATTACCACTCAAATTATTATTATCATTATATTTTTATTATGATTATTTAATGATATCTTATAGTTAAACTACAAGCTAACATTGAGTTTTAAGAGCTATAGCACAGAGGTTGAGCTTTTATAAAATATTCCAATAAAGGCTTAACATTTAAGTTCTTTCCTTATTTTAAATAAATTATCAGTAACATATTTTTGTTAGATATTAAACATATATCTTTTTAGACTGAACACAAACAACTTGAACGTAATTGAAAAAGAATCCTTACATTCGAGAGAATTTAAATTTTAATTTTCCGACCTCTGTAGAAGTTTAAATATTTTATGTTAGAACGTAAATAACGCAAACTAAAGCCCGCTCCGGGAACTCTTTATTTTTTGTGGTAACGCAATGAATAACAGGAAAGCTATGGCCAAATACACAGCTCAATAAATCGTGTACCTAAACTGCGAATCGTAAACTTCCTTAAGCTTTAGTTAACCGCAAATACTCGGGAACCCTGTCAACAGGTCCTTGTTGCAGCATTTATTTCCTTCCCCTTTCAACAGACTGCGGTAAGTGAAAAGGTATTTAATGTTTGGCCTTTTCCTTGGAAACGTTATATTGGGTAAAAAGCAAAATCAACAGAGGAATATAATGGGAAGCCTCGCGCAAAACCGCAAAAACACAGACCGCACAATCTTTCTGGTTCCGATAGATACAGATTTAAATTCGAACCAAGTAATTTAAGACTGCGCCCACATTTGCAACCGTAATATAAATCCAGAATTGAGTTACGCTAAAAACTCCGCGAATATCATAGAGTAAAAAGTGTTTCCGCCTTTCGGGCTCCGTTTTGCAGTGCCCTTTGGTAATAAAATCATAAATCCCCAGGCGAAAAGTGGGCAAAAGGAAAGGAGTTGCCGAAAATACGGACTTCGGGTCAGGAAGCGGAAATTATGTTGGCCTGTC